AAATATTTAGAAGTGCATTAATGCCAATTTGAAGAGAAATTATCTTCGTTTTTTTTTTTAACCCCCTTACAAGAAAACACTCAGGCCTGATTAGCGCGGCAACTCAAGCGAGTTGGGCAGGTTTGATGTATAATTTAAGTTCAACTCACCATATAAAATGCTAAACCCAAATTCAACCCTAATCAGATTCTCAATCTTATTTACTCAACCCGAACCGGAACCCAACCCATCCTACTACTTTTAAATTCGGGTTTGTAACTCGGGCTTAGATTTTGTAGTAAAACTTTGAGTTAATTTGGATTACTCATATGGATAATCTTTCCACCGAAAATTTAATATGATCTTGAATTAATTTTCGATTAAATTATTCTTAAACAAAAAAAAGTTCAAACACTTTTTGCAAATTTTAATAAATTACAAACAAATTTTTAAAAAATTAAGTCTCATAAATGTTAACATACAATAAGTTAAGATTTAACAAAGAAAGTTGAAAGGAAAAAAAGGTAATCATAGTTTATATATTATATATAATGTATCTTAAAGTAAAAATATATAAGAAAATAATATTATAATTCGGATTCGGATTGGCTCGGGTTGTTAACACTTGAACCCAAACCCAACCCTAATTCAATTCGGGTTGAGATTTCAACCCAAGCCCAATCCTATTTTAAAAAATGATTGCCCAAGACTGTGAAAAATCAGGTTGGGCTCGGGTTTCCCAACCCAAGTCCTACTGATTAATACAGATTGACCGTTTCAAGAGTGAAACTCATGCGGGTGCACACCGAGAAGGTGACCTATTTCCTTTTATAATGAGAATTTACTATTTTATCCTTATACTTTATGTTATATATAAAATTATCCCTATTGTTGGAAGAAAGTTAATGTTTACTATCAAAGGACTAATTGGTTAAGTGGTATCACACCTTCCTCCCCAAAGGGGAGGTTGGGGGTGCCGTAATTGCTTTAACTTTAAAAAAAAAAAAAAAAAAAAAAAAAAAAAAAAATTAGTTAAGGTTTATTATATTCCTAAATGTGAGTGGCTATTATTTGAGTGGAAAAATTATAAAAAATAATTTGAATAATTTGAGTTGGAAATTAAAAATTGCCGATGGAATCGGGATCTTAAACAATTGCAGAGATAGGCTGGATATTTATTTACTAATTCGTTTTGGATGGGACGGGAAAGGGATGCCCGCTCGTTGCCATCCCTACTACCTTCCCGTGTTCATGCATCAGACATTATTGCGGAGACATGAAGATTAATTACAATGCTCATTATCAAAAGTTAGTAACACTAAAAAAAAAAAATCAAACTTTTGAGTTGTTTTAGCAATACAATTTAGCACTAACATTGATTTTTTTTTTTTTTTTTTATAAAATATTAAATTCATTGTTAAATGCACAATTAATTATAACATTGGAAAAGTAGTAGTTTAAATGAACTTGAATTTCAACTCAGAGACATGATATACCAAATATGTCAGTGAGAAGGTAATCTTAGACTTCAATTCAACTCAAGTTCAACTCAAAGAGACATGATATACCAAATATGCTAGGGAAATGGGAATCTTAGACTTCAATTCAACTCAAGTAAAGTTGTTGTTCACACCTTTGATCCGATTCATAATCAAATTTATGCTTTTGCGTACGAAATTATAATTTTTCTAAATTAATTGGTGTTCTAAATTAATTGGTGTCACGCCCATTAGTGAGAAAATTAGAAATAGCTACTTGAACATACATACCGAGGTATCCCCTAAAAAGTAAAAAAATATATATATGAAAAAAAAAAAAAAAGAGAAAGAGATTGCTTGCAATGATTAAGAACCAATTCACGAGGTCAATACCAATATACCACTGCTGTACATATTGGCAAAAGCTTGTAGCATTATCACTGTGAGAGATTCCAATATCATATTTGTAATACCCTTAATTTTAAAAGGATAGACTCGGTATTTATTTATTGGTTTCAATTGTAAATTAAATGTTTTCTTTTCTTTTATTATTTTATTTTATTTTTCTTTTATGGTTATGGTTAGTAGTAATGGGCCAACCAATTGGGTCCCATGGACTACTTGGATAGGAGGTTGGATGTGTATGGATTATTACCCATGAATAATGTATGTATATATATAGATATATATTATATACATATATAAAAAGGAAAGTAATTTATTAATTATTTTTATGGTAACTTGGGTAGTAATATTTAATCTGATGTATATGTTTTATATTTAAATAATAAAAATATATATAGATTTGATACGTGTTATGTTTTAAGTTACTTTATAATATTATGGTAACTTAAGTATTATTGGATAATCCATTAATAAATAATGGAATGTATATAATTTATTTATTTAATAAACATATACATAAATTATATACGTAACATATTTTACTTACCTTTTTAATATATATATAAAAGAGAAAGTAATTTATTAATTACTTTTATGGTAATTTGGGTAGTAATATTTAATCTGATGTATATGTTTATTTAAATAACAAAAAATATACATAGATTTGATACGTGTTATGTTTTAAGTTACTTTATAATATTATGGTAACCTAAATATTATTGGATAATCCATTAATAAATAATGGAATGTGTATAATTTATTTATTTAATAAACATATACATAAATTATATACGTAACATATTTTGCTTACCTTTTTAATATTTTTATTTTCATTTTTTTAGTTGACTTGGATTGGGAAAAGGGTTAGGGTTATTTTATTTAGCCTATAAATATATAGCTATAGGTTGTAAAAGGGGATTAGAAATATTGACGTGATATACTGGAGAGATAGTGTTAGAGAGGGAAGGAGGAAAAGGAAGGAATGAGGAGAAAAACCTTATAGAGAGAAGATCAAGTAAGAAGAAGTTTAACTTTCGATCCGAAAGTTTAAGACAAGTTCTTCTTCTATCTCTTTCCCTTTGATTCGTGTTTCTGCACATGCCTAGGAAATTCCAGAATTTATTAAACACATAAAATTAAATAATTATGTATGTTTGATTGGGTTAGAACATAGGTTTTATGAAATTGGTTCATATCTGTTCTTGTATTATGAATTGATAAAATGCATGATTTTGATTTGATTTCTTATGTGAATTTTTACATGTTTAAATTATGTATTTTTTTATACCTATGGAATGATGGAACGTAGAAACATGCCTAAGATTCCTGAACATTAAATTGGGATTAGGTTTGGGTTTTAAGAAATTTAAATAGACTCAATCATAATGATGATTGCTATTTGAATGTTTTAAACAAACGAATGGATTTAATCTTTTAAAATATTTTAGCAATTGAGATTAAATGTGTAAGATGAATTGGATATGGAGAATCCTTATTTAACGGTATAATAAAATATCATATAGGAAGTTTAAAGAAATAATAAGTCATTCGTATTATGTGATAACTTGATATCATATTTATCATAGTTATTTATGGAATGTTTGATGTATTTCCTTAAATTGTTGGATTGTGTGGTTTAATGCACCGGTATGGGACGGTGGCATTCTAGGGATGGATTAACTTATTAGTTAAGTCCTACCTATTTTATATAAGGGAATGGATTAACTAAAATGTTAAGTCCTACTTATATTTAAGTCAGGTCAGCTGAACAAGTTGAATGACTTATGGATGATTAATTTATTATATAAGGGAATGGATTAACTAAAATGTTAAGTCCTACTTATATTCAAGTCAAGTCAGCTGAACAAGTTGAATGACTTATGGAGGATTAATTTATACTGGATAGGATGGTTACTAGATTTTATATATATAAATATGGTACCATGATATGAGCTTGAGTTTTAGGATCAATGGTTATGGCGCGCATATCGCCAAGGATGTGTAGCTAGATATAGTGTAGTTGTGTACCCTGGTAAGTCTAGGTACTCATGCCCACTATATGTGTGTTTTGCATGTTGCCTACTATTCAGGTTGAGACAACCCTATAGTCTAGTGAGGTTCCTTTAGTGTGTGTATATATATATACGGACAACTAGTTACTGTTGGATTGACTAGGATGTATACGTGTATCGGATCTCTGCTTGGACTGTAGTAGAGTAGAACTTGTTTGTGGGCCTGACCCACCATTATTTTTTAAGTGTTTGTCACGAGTAGAGGTTGTTCGTGCTGAGCGGGGATCAGTCTACTTCATTCTTCCGATGCTACATAGGAGTTCCTTTATGATTCAGTTTCCTGTTTTAGATTACTGTCATTTGTTTAGTTTAGATTTTCTAGGAATCCACACAGTATGGAGTTTATTAATTAATGAAAATATATTATGAGGTTTATTATTAGATTATCATTTTATTTTCTTGTCAACATGTGTTCGTTTATTATCAATTTGTTTTGATATCCTCGGGTATTCGGGCGTGGGCCTAGCCAACCCGCATTCAAAAATTTGGGGGTATCACAATATTGGTTTGACATATAACCAGTTTCCTGAAACTTCAATTCAAAAAAGAACTTGTTACCTTTTGAGTCTAAACATAAAGTAACCAACAGAAATTACTTCAAAAAGCTAGTCTCCATGAGACAACCATTAGGCACTTGTACACGTTCAAAAACAGTTTTCAAGAACAGTAAAATATTAAAAACTGAACCAATCACGCCCTCAAAAACTTAAATTTGATTATGAACTTGATATTTTGCTTCAGACGAGCAACTAGTAAGAATCTAGGGCAAAAATACTCGATCCTGCTGTTGAATAAATGTATAATCAACGCCACTTGTTAAACAAATTATCAATCAACATAATCACAATTGACATATTTATCAAAATAAATTCCTCAACCGTATTGCAATATGCCCTGTAAAATGCCGCAAATTGAATATAAAAAAAAGAAAAAAAAGAAAAATCCAATCTTGTAACAAGTAAATTCAAATAATAAAAGACAAAAGCAATGGAAAAATCCCATATGGCAACACCATTCATGGGGTTTCAAAAAGACCTGCTGATCAACCAACCAAATAATCAAGGAATAAGAAAAATGAAAACCAACCAATAGTCACATTTTATCCTTGTTTGCAATTTCAGAATAGTTGATCAATCGAGCGCTTGCAACCGACCAATACCCGAAAGCTCTAACATGTAACACAATAAAATGTCAACCAGTTCTTCATCTAAGTACTCAATGCAGAATCATTAACTATAACAGCTGAACGAAGTCCGGACCAAAACAAACAATAAGAATCGAAAATTAACTCAATATCACTAAGCTATCCTCATGATTCAATATATGGAAGGCATACAGAAACACTGACAAGCACAAGTAATGACTTAACCATAACCCACTCACCACACATCAACCCTGGGGTGAGGTCTTGGCAACACTGCCAGACTGCACAGCCTGAGAAGCTGGAGCTGCACTGCCATCAGTAGGATATGCTGGAACCTGTGAATAACCACCACCGTAAGAGCTGTTATATGGTGGTGGCTGCTGCTGCTGCCCATAACCTGGCTGAGCGACTGGCGGAGCACCGTAAGGTGGGGCTCCATATCCTGGTTGAGCTGTTGCAGTGCCATACCCAGAGGGTGGAGCTCGCTGGGCACCGGAATCCGTTTGAGCATAACCAGTTTGAGTAGGAGCTGGCTGAGAATGGGGATACCCAGGCTGGGCATAGCCTCCTTGGACACCTGGTGACTGTTGGGCCTGCCCATAAGCTGTTTGATTGGCTGGAGGCTTCTGAGCCTGAGGTGTTCCGTAGTTAGGGGCATATCCAGTAGGCTGCTGAGTCCCATAACCTGTCTGGGATGTTGGCGGCACTCCATAACCTGGCTGGGTAGATCCTTGAGGCGGATAACTAGCAGGGCTGGAGCTAGGCTGCTGACCAGCACTGTATCCTTGTTGGCCCATCGTAGATGACTGAACAGGTGGAGGTGCTTGGTTGGTATCCCCTTGAGCTCCATACGAAGGTGCCTGACCGTCCGGTGTTGGGTTGGTCACATTACCATAACCAGTAGTAGAATTATAACCATGCTGCTGATCATACCCTGTATGAGGATTTGGCTGCTGCTGTCCATAACCAGGTTGGGCAGCAGGTGCATTATACCCACCATAACCGTTGTGAGGATACCCTTGCCCTTGTTGATTATAGCCAGAAGCCTGTGGTTGGTTGTATCCATAACTGGTATTATCTGCAGGGGCTGATGACCCACCAGAGGCTTGTTGCTGAGGCGGCTGCTGGCTGTAGTAATCATAACCACCCCCCTGAGCAGTCTGCTGGTTTGGTGGGGCAGCTGTCTGGTCCCAGCCAGTAGCATATCCACCAGATGTAGCTTGTTGAGGATAACCAGTGTATGGTGGTTGAGACATGCCATATTGTGGTGATGGTCCAGGGTATGCTCCAGGTTGTGCATAACCATAACCGGGTTGTTGCATTTGAGGAGCAGAAGAGGCCCAGCTTGTGGGAGCTTGTGCTTGGTAACCTTGCTGAGGATATCCTCCAGCCATTGCTGGATTTCGCATACGGGAATTCTGCACAAAATTGTTATCCCAAATGAACCAAGAAGCATGATGGTCGCATACTGAGAACCAATATGCCTAAAGAAAAGCAGATCATGTAGACACAAACGCACTGAACAAAGACACCTATAGATATCAACACAAGGCAGCCTGCATACTTCAAATACTATTGCATCCTAAACAAGAATATGCATTGCATATTTGTATTAAGAGGGGTTTAGGTGCCTACATACCGTACAGGTTGGTGGTACTACTCCAGCAGAATCCCATCCTCACCCTATTCGAAGTGAATGGGTACAATACAAAAAGAAATAGCAACACATACAAATTCCCTCATAAAGGGAAAAACAATAAAAACTGTATTTCCATGAAGCAGGTAATAACTTTTGTAACAAATACTTAGACTCATCAAATATCCAGTTGATCCATTGTATAATCGACAATAATAGTGTATTGTGCAAGGAATCAGTGGATTTAACAATAAAAACGTTATAACTAGAATTAGACCAGTCAAAATGCATCAAATGCTGATACAAGTAAATAATATATATATATATATAACCACAACCTGACCTTACTAAAAATAGAAGTGCAAAATTGAGCAAATTTAGAATAAAATCATGTAAATTATACAGTACTGCTCAACAGTGAGAGTTTGTAAATACAAACATAACAAGATATACATATAGCATTATTTCTGAGGAAGGTCGTACTGTACCATTTACAACAATTAAAAACACCTCTTCTTCCTACATAATTTATATATATCAGATTAAATACTTTAAAAAACTCTGCAAATGCACATGGATCCTTCTATGATTATAAATTAATGTAATAAATGTACAAACACAAAAGGAGCATAAGTGTTCAGCTAGAAAGATAAGGGAAAACCTAGTTATTTGTGGTTAGATCATGTTCAGGACCGAACAAAATTCATTTTAAGAATGGCAAAAAACCAACACCTGTAAGTGATATCGGTAACTACACTCACAGAATACGGAAGAAAAAGAGAAGTTAACAAGGTGATATATCTGAGATGCTGGCCCTCTGCTGGTATGAGACAAGATATTTGAATAAAACAATAATATCCAGCAGACTTCCAAAAATTATAAAAGGACAAAATACTAACCATATAATACTACCAAACAGATGAAAAAGTTCCTAGAATGCTTATGTTTTTCTCAACAGTAATGTATTAAAAGGTAACAACCATCTAAATCTAAGCTGCTGTAAAGGGTAGATTTTGTAGCAAAAGCATCAAGAAGTACACTAAAGAGAGAACTAGAAAAACAAATTACATCTACATATTTGACATCAAACCACACCACATAAATGGTACCAATAATGAAATTATGGCTTGAATTATCTAAAAGAAAACACCTTTAGGACATGCTAGCACAATATAAATAACATACTTCAATAAATGCCACATGTAAAATTATTTTGACACTCGTGATCCAAAACTCTTATAATCTAGTTCCTTGTATCCATCAACAGTAAGGTCCTCAATTGCTCTCCAAAGTATCAGCATAAATATCAGATAACGAGATTCAGACCCATACCAGAACAGTGTTGACAAAGAAAGCCAACACTATTGGGTTTCATGTTGGTTTCACCAATAATTTCAATATCCACTAACCCTACAATTCCCGAATAGCAAAATCAGTAATGAGATGCACAATTAACAAGAACATTCAACGCTACAATCCCAAAACATTTTCACTTGAGCATTCAACCAACGAAGGCTATAACACTACATTCAGAAAGATCCACAATTATATGGAAGCTTTTATACTGCCTAAATTACCTCAAGGGAAAAGACTTAGAGACCTGTCTCTTAAAGCCTGAATCATTTCAAGACTCGAGGCACATCTTAATCAATAATTGTCACCAATTCATAAAATTTGAAAATTCATATAAATGATCAACTATATATCCACTATCCAAACCAACCAACATATAATATAACTAACTGCAGATAAAATAAAAATAAAAATAAAAAATAAAAGTAAGAAAACGTGGATATGACGAGTAAAACAATCCTGTAGATTCAGTATCTATGTCCTATCTTGCAACTACAGAACTTATATATGTAATTCAGGGTTAAACAGCCAATGCCGAAAAATGGGAAAATTAAAAGACCACCACTTTCATCCAGATGTTAGTTTGATATAAAGGATCTTAATTCTGAACCATTGAAACCGTACATGTCATGAGGATCACCTGCAATTTATATCTGCAATAGACATAAAAGAGGAATATAGGGAAGAACCAAGAGCACAAGTCTATAAGATAGAACCAGAAATTTAGCAAGACAAGAATTATCCTGGTGACAGGGGATCAGTTAGATATTGTAGCAGTATCAACATCCTAGAAGCTTCAATCATGAATAGTGAGATAGATAAAAGTGGAAAAGAAAACTACACCAGAATGTGACAATGTAATGTAGTTTTATAGAGAACTAATAGATAATGTGATATTATGTGATGCAATAATTTAGTACAATAATACTAAGCAGATAATTTGCTACAAGCTTAATAGAATGATAGGGGAAAAAATCAATCAAGGAAAAGTGCATGTGCATCTTCTATTTCACTCATTTGAATTGAGTGAGCCGAACGGAAAGGAGACAAAAAGAGGTGGTAAAGCTCATCTCATGTTTGCTTTAAAACATAAAGAGGGGAGGAAAGGAATATTATAGAGGAAGAGAGCAACAATGTTTTGAATATCTTCCCAAAAGTGAGGAACTGAGGATTTTGAACACCCGTTTTGTTGCAAAATTTTTAACAAGTGAACTCTTGTTTTACCCTTGCAAATCTCGAAATGAACAATCATTTCCTTTCCTTTCTCTCCACTATCTTTCCAAATGCAATGAACTGTTTTCTTTCTTTTTCATCCTCAGTCATACTTATCACAACATGAGGAGAAATTAACACTATCATCTCTTTCTTTCTTTTATCCCAACCTTTGCCTTTCCCTCCTACTTGTCCAAACACAACGTTAGTTTAGAAATCCTGCCCTTAAAATGAAGTAAAAATTTTGATTTGAGTTACCAAAAATATTACATCAAACAAGAAAATGAAATCAATTATATAGAAATGAGAAGGAACAGGAGATCAGGTAGAAGACATCTAATCATGTTACTAGAACCACTAAGACTAATCAGTGACCACAAGAGGTTGAAAATGAAGATATGTGACCACAAGAGGTTGAAAATGAAGATCAGCAATTACAGGATCCATGATAAAAAGAAACATTACTTTAATGGGATCCTGATGATTCACAAAAATAAAATAAAAAACTCAATATACCAATATACCATTTGAATGTAAATAAATAAATATATATATATATATATATATAAAGTTGACTTGGTTCCCATGCAAAATGAGACTGATGACCACTTTGAGATATACAGAAGCTGCCATAACAGCACTTGAAAAAAGTTGCAACAAAAAATTCCAACAATGGCTTAAAAATTTGTCATAGACCACAAGGCAATCTGGATGCAGGCTTCATCAGCACATCGAGCAGCCATTTTATTTTAATGGTGTGAAAAACATTAGAATATTATAAATTCCAGAATCACCCCCACTGAGAAACCAGAAGACTTGACAGAACAACAAAATACTACAGCAAACTCAGAACCTAAAAAAAGCATTCAAAATCAAGTCTCCTAGTAATAAATGTTTTAAGGACATAGAAGGAATCTAGCAATGCATTTCAGAATCATATTATAAAGAAATATTGGGCACAATAATATATATATATATAAATAACGTTGAAGCAGGTGAAATCTAATACACCTGAAACCAAATCCAAGCTTCCTTTCTCTGTAGACAAGTTAAAAATGAAAAAGACGGAATCCAACAATTTGATTCTGGAATCATGCCTCATCCAAAATATTAAACCCATAATCTGAAACTCTAGTTAGCCCAAGCCATGGCACTAATTTGCTGGTACAAAGTAATGCCTAATGTTAAGCTTTTCTCAGGTACACCTCTCATTACCTCATAAAGACCGGATCAACAATACACAATGGCCTTGGATATCATCTTACTATTCTATTGACACAAGTAAAATTTGAATAAGATGCTGTTTGATAAAACCGAATTAAATACTAACAAATTCTAAAAAATAGATATTTTAAGAGCTAAATGTAAATTGAGAATTTCTTTCATATTTGTCTGATGAATTTTGAGTGGTTTAGTCTTCAGTAATAAGTGAAGCCACTATCACTTAAATCCCGCTTCGAGCAGAATTTTGTCTGTCAAGTGATATCCAGATTGCGTTATTAAACGCACTTAATTGGACAATCACTTAATTTATTCAGAATATAGTATTCAATTGGATTATCAAACAGCACCTTGTTTATGACAGTGCAAGCAAAAGAGCTAATCATTCTAATTCTGTCTGCAAGATTGCAAAACAACTAGTTATACCTGACTGATTACTTCATTGACCAGCTGTTTCGCAGTTTCAACCTGTTCACTGGTGCCATCTATCTGTACTTTCCTCTCTGTTGATGTGTCACCTGGAGCCAGATGCAAAGGTATCACCTGAACAAATTAAGGCAATGAGTATAATCACTAAACAATACAAAAAAAAATTATTTTCCAACCTTTTTTTTATGGTGCCATGTAAAATAATTATATTGATTGAAAAAATTATATGATATTGAACTGGAAAATCATATAGAGACGCATGAAAGTCATTTTATGATTTTTATCGTTATATAAAATTTGATTAAAAATTGATTTGAAAATTCAGTGACATCAATTTGCTATTATACCAGAAGACACTTGGCCAACAAGAAATAAATGAAGCAAAGCAGAAGGCATAAGATTCAATGATTGACCTGAATACGTGCTCCTGAACTGGCTTGCATATTTTTTATGGTTTCGCCTCCTTTGCCAATTACAAGACCAACCTGAAAATGAACACACATCACTTCCATCAAACACCGCTAGGGAAAACCCAACTGATGGCAAACTGGACGATCACCATAGCAGCTTTTGTATTTTTAGTTTTTTACCTTGTTGTTTGGAACAAACATAACAAATTGTTCAGACCCAGCTTGTTGTCCAGTTACCCTTCTAGAAACTATACCAGAACCGCCTGCTTCAGCCTGCCACAAACATCAATAACATTAAGTCATTAACAAAAAAAATACTGTATATATAATCAAATGTTGACCAAATTATATTGGGTGTTCCATGGTGTAATTCTCAACACTTCAATGTCAGACTTAAAGGTAGGGTACAAAAAATCTAAATTAAGAAAAACAACAGAAACTAGACTTAGTTGTTAAAGAACAAAGACAAAGCACTACCTCCGCAAGAACATCATTTATAAACTGTTCAGCTTTGTCTATTTGCTCCTGAGTACCCGTGAGCTCGACCATCCTAGTTAGGGAATTAGGATCTGCATCCATATCCCTAGTTACTTGAATCTTAGCTCCAGACTGCAGCTGAAGATACTTGATAGTCTCTCCACTTTTGCCAATAATCACACCAACCCTGCCATTCGGAATATCAATCTTTTTGCTTGTCTGGAAACCATATGAAACCGGTATTGATGAAGGAGTCATATTCGGAATCATAGGCTTCTGCCCAAATTCTGCATTTGACAAAACCACAAAACCTTAGCATTGCAGGTGATTTCAGACCATTAAAACAAAAATTATACCACATCTATGAGGCATTTTACCATAAATCACATAATATCGTTACACTGGAATAGGCCAAAACCAAAATGAAATAAATATACAAAAAACAAGTCAATGTAAGTGTTCTCAACATGTAAACCTATAAATCAGAATATAGAACAGCAACCACATTAACCAATAATAAACACGAAATCACAACAACAGCCACTCCAGATAAGTAAATTTCTATATAAACCAGTGATACCAATACAAACATTATTAAAAACCTTTACACAAAACTGAAATAGTTAGATTCATTGAAAAAAATAATCATAATTAATCAAAACAACAATCCCCCAACCCCAAAAATACAGAAAAGATTATCGGAAAACATACCCCAAATAGGTATGTGTGTATACACAAACACATATAAGTATATAATAGTCAAATAATTAACCAAAATAAGCAAGTTGAGCAAAACAAATAGAGTGAAAGTATTAACTAATAATAAATCCAAAGCCAAAAAAAATTAGAAAAATCTGGGAAAGAGAAGTCGTAAGTAGAGAGACAGAGAGAGGGAAAGGGAGGGCAAACCAGTCGGAACGGAGCTGAAACCTTTAACATCGTTCGAATCGAAACCACCACCACCATTCTCAACCCTCGGACGCTTCGCTTCGGCGTTGTTGAAAAGACGAGCGGCGATCTCCTGCGCTTTCTGCTTCGCCAGCTGGATTTCATCGACCGGTGGTGGAACGCTGTTGTAAGAAGAAGGCGGATTGCCGGAATCCGGCGACTGCGACGAGATCGGAGCAGAGAAGCCGGTGGGCCGTCGTGTACCGGCCGACGGAGGCGTCATCAGCTGGTCCTCATACTTCCTCTTGTTGGTGGCAGAATCGTTGCCGGACGAGTACTGTAACTCCTCGGCCATCGGTGTGTCGAGAGAGAGAGATAGATGGGGGGTTGTGAAAACCCTAGGCAGAGAAGCGTGAAGATTCGAGTGAGTGTGAGGATTGGGATTTGGCACGCGTTTGTAATTTGTAGTGCAAGGAGAGCCGTAGTATTTTTTTAAATGGATAGACGGTCTAAGACCAAAAAAATAAATAAATAAATAAAATTAATAATAATTTCCGACAATAATATCCTCAACTTACCAAAAACACCCTAATGATAATGAATTGATATTTTTACCCTTTTAATTTTTATACTAACCAATTTAAATATTAAAATAACTATTATAACCTTATACCAATAACCATTTCTTTCATTCTCTCCTCTCAGATCTCTCTTCCTCCTAACACCAACACACGCATACAAATACATACATATATATAAACAGTAATAAATTTAAGGATTCTATTTAAAAGTTCAAAAAACTTGCATCATTGAATTTTTATCTCATTATACTTTTGGTATTTTCTAAAGTAACATGATTATATATTGTAAATACTCGTCAAAAAAAAAAAAAAAACCATGTATCTGTTTAGTAAAACCAATTGTATAAAATAACAAATTAAAATGGCGCGCGCGCGCGCGCACACACACACACACACACACACACATATATATATATATATATATATATTCACACACACACACAAGGGGGGGGGATTGTGAGTTTCCTCAACTCTCTTTTCACCGTCAAAAACTCAAAGAAGGCCACCATCTCCGGTGGATCAAAGACAAGTAGGTTGGCGGCGAATCGAAGACGCTTTTGATGAAGAAGACAAGCAGATCGACGATGAAGTGTTATGAGGTTCTACCGGTCCAAAGGCAAGCGCCAGAGTTAGGGACGGTCCGGGAGCCATCGCATCAAATATAGGTAGAACCGAAGTTGTGCCGCGGGGGACACGCGCCGTCGATTTATTCAACAGGTGGGTTCGGACGAATTTGGTGGTGATGATTGGTGGTGAGGGGTGAAAGCTAATGATGAATCAACAACGAAAATAAATTGGGGTGGTTGTTGGGGTGGAGATGGTGGCGGTGGGTTGGGGGGTGGGGATGGTGGTGGTTGTGGATTTTGGTGTGCTGGTGGTGTCAGAATTGGTTGTAGGGTTTTTGGATTGATTGGGTGCTAAGGGTAATTTAATCATTTAAGTATTTTGATATTTTATAATTAAAATTAATAAAATAGTGAATGGTAAAATGGACTTTTCACATGTTTTAAAGCTGTGTTTGGATAACAAATTTCTCAAGGGGGTGTGGTTCTCTTAAAATAGGCAAACTTTCAAATGATGCATTAATTTAATTAAAATATATAATATTAATATATAATATATGTTAAATTAAAAGATATATATTTATACATTAAAGAAGGATGGATGAGAGAGGAAGATATCATGTATTTTTTTTTTTTTAAGTAGTCGGATTGATGGCTATATTTATCCGATAACTAATTATGCATAGAGGAGTCAAAGTGCAATATTGACTTAGAGGTTATTTATTATTTAATTGGAGTTCAATTAATTTCTTTTAATGGAGTAGAAATTAATTTATGAATTAATTGAATTGGGTCCATGGACCGGGCCAATTATTAATTCATTGTAGCCAATAAAATAATAGGCCCAATGGATTCTCACTCATAACCCAACTTGATATTGGAATCATATTAGATTTGAGACATATGAATTAGAGATGGAGAAGGATTTGTTATTTCCTTTTCTTTATTTTTATGTTGCCTATAAATATACATGGTCTATGTATATTTTAGGGGGTGATTTTTATGAGAAGGAAAAAGGAATAAATTTTCTCTCTCTAGAAAATTAGGATTTATGGTCTCATCTAATAGAGGCTCCCACAAGCCTAGTTTTCCAAGGTAATTCATGGAGGCTTATGAGTGATTCCTAAAGGCAAAATAATTACCAAGAAGATGGAGATCCAAGGAGAAGGCATCTTGCTAAGGGATCTACAATAAGTGAGAACATTCACTTTAGAGGAAAGTTTTAAAGGTTTACTCAGACCTTTGATGTAAGTATTCAATCCATTAATTGAATGATACATCATATTTTTATTTTTGCATAAAACTTGTCTCTATGTGATGAATCAAGATCTATGAATCAAAATCCCTCGAAAAGTTTTTAAAACTTGCACGTTTCCCAACACTCCGGTAGATCAAAGACAAGTAGGTTGGCGGCGAATCGAAGACGCTTTTGATGAAGAAGACAAGTAGGTTGGCGGCGAATCGAAGACGCTTTTGATGAAGAAGACAAGCAGATCGACGGTGAAGTGTTATGAGGTCCTACCGGTCCAAAGGCAAGCGCCGGAGTTAGGGACGGTCCGGGAGCCATCGCATCAAATATAGGCAGAACTGAAGTTGTGCCGCGGGGGACACGCGCCGTCGATTTATTCAACAGGTGGGTTCGGACGAATTTGGTGGTGATGATTGGTGGTGAGGGGTGAAAGCTAATGACGAATCAACAACGAAAATAAATTGGGGTGGTTGTTGGGGTGGAGATGGTGGCGGTGGGTTGGGGGGTGGGGATGGTGGTGGTTGTGGATTTTGGTGTGGTGGTGGTGTCAGAATTGGTTGTAGGGTTTTTGGATTGATTGGGTGCTAAGGGTAATTTAATCATTTAAGTATTTTGATATTTTATAATTAAAATTAATAAAATAGTGAATGGTAAAATGGACTTTTCACATGTTTTAAAGCTGTGTTTGGATAACAAATTTCTCAAGGGGGTGTGGTTCTCTTAAAATAGGCAAACTTTCAAATGATGCATTAATTTAATTAAAATATATAATATTAATATATAATATATGTTAAATTAAAAGATATATATTTATACATTAAAGAAGGATGGATGAGAGAGGAAGATATTATGTATTTTTTTTTTTTTTTTTGAAGAAAAAAAACTATAAATTTTCTATGTAGAGAAGATATAATTTTAATTATTTTTACTATTATATCCAATAATATTATAATTTAAAACTTGTATAATTTATAATAGTATTTAATTAAAATTTCTATAATAATCTATGCGGTCCTTTTTCTGCCTTTTTTGGAATAGGGTAATTCTTCCTACTGTCCTTTATTTCTTTTTAGAAAGTTGGTTCATTTCGTCATATTTTGTCTCCAAATTATTTCCTTCCTTCCTACTACCGAACACAGCATAAAGAATGCCTAATTTGATCTTACCTTCCCAACGAATCCGGTTTTTTTATGAACATTTCTTTTCTTTTCTTTTTTTCTTGTTTTGTAAATTCATCTCTACCTTTTTCTTTATCATTATCCCCGAATTTAAATAAACAAATTGATTTAAGGCAAATCACATTACATAGAAATATCATTATTTATTTAATCAATCTAATGGATGACCTCTTATCAATTGGTAAAGTGAATTGTATTATTAAAAGTTTCTAAATCTACGAATTGTGTAGGTTTCAATTTTATTTTGTGAATAATGGACACATTGACGATTGTAGGTGAGACTCATAGTCATTCTTAATTTTAATTTGTCAACTACTTATTCATAGCGAGTGTCAATAATGAAGTCCAGGGTTCGATGTATCGTTAGATACGCGACCCTTTTTCAAGTTCAATATGTAATTCATTTTGATTAATTTACTCAGATTTTATCCGAACATGTTACACCTCGATCGATGTCGATACTGCAATCGTGACCGATACTGCAAACTATGCAACAAACACATCAACTGTGGCCCTGGGGTGAGACTCATAGTCATTGTAACCTTGTGAGGGGACTCACAGCCGTGTTGAATGGCATTAAAATGTCACCAAATGTATCATATCTCTTTATGTAAAGGTCTACATCCGTTGTTATTATGTTCTATTGTTTATCGTAACTCTTTTTTTTATTACTCCTTCAAAACATGTATGTTCAGATGGCCAACTCCACCAAATTTATTTTACACAACATAAGCAACAGAGGAGTCATCCTCCACTTTCAGAGTACACCTAGTTTGCACCTCATGTGCACATTGACATTGTACATATCATTTGCTAGGCTCTGCCAACAATCGTTCTTCGGCGATTCCTTGTAAATAGCAAATTTTAGACCATTTTTATTATAATTTAAGACTTCCTAAGAACTATACCATTTTTATTATAATTTAAGACTTCCCAAGAACTATAACCAGTCACTGTTATTGAAATGTTATGGCATGATACTTGCACCGAAATTAGGGGTAAATTAAAGTTGCTATAGTGCAAAAAGGTCCGTAGCGATGGTAATATAAGTGATAGCAATGAGTATTTTAACTCATAACATGGTAGCTAGCAATTTTAATGGTGATTGATTGAGGCATCATAATGGTGGCAGTAATCATTGTAGGCAGTAGCAGCTCATAGCACCAGCAATGGTTTTGTACCATAGGTGAAGGACAATGCAATTGCAAGGGCATAGCAAGGATGCAGCGGATCCCAGGAACCTAGACCCCTTGGGATTCAAGTTCCTGTGCCTTTAAGTCTTGTATAAGTGATGTGAAATTGTTACGCGAGATGTGAAGTTGCATAAGCAACATGAGATGTTACATAAGCAATGTAATGGGTACAACACAGCACATGAGAGGATCTAGGTTTGACACACCAATAGCACCAAGCTCACAGTGCCGTACTTTTTTCTGTTTTGTTTTTCATTGGTTTCAAAACAGCTTCAACAAATGCCTTCATTTTTGCCTCGGAAAAAAATATGACAAAATATATATATTTGACTTTTAAAATTCATCATAAAACATTTAATGCAATTACTCCTTGCTGACTACTAAAAAAAAGGCAGCACTGCATATCTTTCCTCGCAGTCAAATGAATAAACTCCATATTACACACCGGTTTGGGCACTTTATTTAAAGATAAAAACCATGGCTCCATATTACACACCCGTTTGGGCACTTTATTTAAAGATAAAAACCATAATTTTGAATGAATAAACTAAATATTACACACCTGTTTGGGCACTTTTATTTCAAGATAGAAAGCGTAATCAGCTCCGACTGATACTGAAAGTTGGATAAAATACAGGAAAATACAATGTTTTATGCAAGCATAGTTCAAAAGAAGACATCAGAGACTGCTCCTTACTGAGCACCAAAGTGCAAAATAGTCGTTTCACAAAAGAGAACACACCGCATATGGCTTCTTGTGATCTCCAATCACAAAGAGGTTTTAATAAGTCTCTCCCTCTACATGGTACTTAGCCAGATAAAAGCAACCAAAGTTGGACTTATTGTTCCATAAGCATGCAGCAAAAGCTGCTTGAGGACACGCGAAATGCCCTCATTTTGTCCACCAAATATGGAAATCCTTGCGCCTGTTGATCTTCTTCTGCAGCTGGAGAAGTCCATAAAGCAGGGCCTCAGCCGTGGGCGGACAACCAGGAACATATATGTCAACTGGGACAATCCTGTCACAACCCCGAACAACAGAGTACGAGTAATGATAGTATCCACCACCATTTGCACAGCTGCCCATAGAGACGACCCACCTGGGTTCAGGCATTTGATCATAGACCCTGCAAAAGAATTCAATGTGAAAATTCAGTATAATTTACCCTTTATATATATTCATAGTAAAATTGCTTGGCAAGAAGTTGCAAGGCACTTCAAAAAAGAAAAAGAAAAAAATGGTCGGCTGAAAAATTCCATTATAAAAGCCCATGTTACAAAATTTTCCAATTTCCAAATTCTATTTCTGCATATTCTCAAAGCCACCACTTTAAAGCAAAAACAGCAAAGCCCCAAATTGAAAATCTGTAGTTCTTTTTCTCTCATCGCAACCAAATATAGTAGTACATGAAACCGATCATCTTAGAGGACTCATCGCACGCTGAGGGAGCACTAAGATTTTCATCTTCTTTGAACGTGTTCATAGTTGCACCTTTTGGTGAAAGTACAATCACTATAAAAAGTAGGCCAAAAGTGCAATCACAAAAATGCAATATCGGCCAATTTGCACTTTGCAGGAGAATTGAACAAGTTATGCATAATTCTAATTAACAGCCTGACATGCACGTAGTAGAAAGCCTCAAAACACTTCCAGTGTGATTGTTTTCACAAGTCACACTGTTTCCTATTTTCTTACTCCCCTAGAATGTCATCTAGAGCTCCCAAAATCCCACTAGATTGGAACTAGAATTTCTCCATAAAATATACACCAACTGTTTACCAAGCCAAAAACACCTTAAAGAAGGAGTGAGAAAAACTCTCTTATCCAGTAGCCAAGAGGGCCAAACATACCCAAAATTGTTACCAGCAAGCCAAAAACACCCTAAAAATTAAGAGAAGAACTCTCTATTATCCAGCAGCCAAGAGGACCAAACATACCCCAAATTGTTACCAGTAAGCCAAAAACACCCTACTGATAAGTGAAGATCTCTCTTCTCCAGCAAACAAGGAGACTGCAAGGACGTGAAAACAATTCCACATAGCTAAGGGCTTGAAAGAAATATCCTAGTAGACCTTCCCATCATTCCTTTCGGACATAATCTGGATCCTTCTCTAAACAACACTAGCAGTCCCATAGCATCAATTAATTTCAGAACCACTCAAACCAAGACCATCAATATCTCCTCTAGACCAACAATTAATATCACTAATCTTAAATATTGTTCGCAACTATCAACTTCAGCTTCTGCTTAAGTAGACCTATGGGTTAGCAGTAGCATTAAGAACTGGAGAAAGGTGAGTGTACAATTTCCAATCCATCCTCTCTTACAAAACTTAATAATGCCTGAAGTTGCAGCAAGGTTGCCCAGGGTTACCCAGTGCGTCTCAGCAATTTCAGGTGCAGAATTTGATACTGAATTTAAGGTTGTACAGCAACCATGCTTCATGGTTACAACAATCAACCAAACATAAAGTATGCCATCCATTTCTGCAGAATGACAATTCTACTTAAAAAACGAAAAGTTTTCTGATGGAGTAACAATACAATAAAAAAATCTTTATGAACCAAAGCTGTCTATCTTTAATTCTCTATATATAAATTCACATCAAGGAATCATATGTAACAATTTCTGAAGTGAGCCCTCACATATATTCTATATCTTTGTTACGTTATATGTTCCATTTTCCATACATCAGCTTCATTTTTTACTTATTCATTTATTCCTAAACTCTAGGAATAACTTACTCAGAAGTCAGATCCACTCTTGCTCTCTATATTTGGATTTCGCAAGCATTAAGAAAAAGAGTTAACTATATCGATCAAGATTCTATAGTGAATTTTATTTATATTTACAGTTGTACTACTTCAACAACTATGACTAGCCCCAACAAAAAGAAGGGGAGAAAAATGGATTTCAGTAACTACAGGATTTTTTTAATTTCCGTAACCGCATGATTTCCCTTTTTCTCTTTTTCCATGCTCCTCTCCTAGTGCTTGACTGTAACCAGCTATAACCATCAGGACCTGATGCCAAAGGATAAATTAATTAAAAAGAGATTTATCCCTTGTCTGGATCTAAACATAGCAGCAAAAAGCTATGAATATTTTCTCCTTCCTCCATTACTTTCTTCCGATATTCAGAATATATATTTATTTACATAACAATAGCTTTAAATAAACTTCTCCTTTACTAAATTCAACTCTCTGGTGCTAGTGCCTTGCCAGAACTTTCTTGCCTATCTTCTACTAAGGTTCATTTTGTGAAAATAAATAAAATAGAGACAAAGATGGATAAGTACAAGAAATACAGAGTGCTCGAGTCAGGAGTTCCTTTGCATATACAACTAACTTTAAGGGGAGAAGTAGATGTAAGGAAAAGAGTGAGAGCAATGGAGAGAGTTACAGAAAGGGTACGTTCATGTTTTTGGCATTCTTTTCGAACTGTTCAAGCAAATTTATCTTTCTGATCCCTTGCACCTTACCTAATTGAAAAGGACTTTGTCACAGAGACTGTTGCAGAGACACTGTCAGAGATGCACATCCTTTAACAAAGTCATTCAAGTGAAGCATCTCCAATCTCCACCAGAATCTATTCATTCTTACGGTATCGTTGATCCCATAGCAGACTTTGTAATCGCATGTCTGCCATTACATTTTCCACTCACGCAAACTTCATGCTATCATGAGCACTCCAGCATTGTTCAATTCAATAAGGACATCAATGCGCATGTACGTGCACCAAATTGAGCTTGAGAGCATTTGGATAAAAAAAAACTAAATTAACCTAAATTGTTGTAGTTAATATTAACTAGATTGCTTCTATCTAAATAGGTGGTATTTCCACAACTTCCCAGTCATCTCTAACAGTATGATTAAAGTTATAACTCCTATAATATTAGAGGCTTAACAAAAAAATAAAAGAATAAATTGAATTAATATAAAAGGTCGGAGACTTAGAGTTTACTCTATGAATGTAGGCCATCTTGGCCCAGCAACATAATTCTCTGTGTTTATCATTTTCTTTGTAACATGAATATATAACATGGTGCGGCCAATATGATCTACACAAGGCACTGAAAGCCCAACAAGTTAAATACCTCTTACTAAAAATATTCCATGTACATCTGCACAGCCATACAGGGGAATAACAACCAAAAAAAAGAAAAGTCTAGAAATGCATGACAGATGTGATCCCAAAAAGGTAAATACAACTATGGGTGACTAAAGTCAAAAGAACTGTAGCTATTAAAAGCAGTACAAGAAAAAAAAAAGAGATTAATCTTATCACCTTTGCATCTTGATTGACTTCATTCAACCTTAACACCAACACTTCCCCTCAAGTTGATGCATGGGTACCTATGGTGTCCAACCAGCTAATATTGGATCTAGTCTCAAATCCATGATTGCCAGAAATTTCATTACTTTTTGAGTGTCTAACATGATAAAAAAAAGAGGCTCCCTATTATTGACAATTTCTGTACATTCAAAAAACAAAATGGATCTAAAACCTAATTAAAAAGAAAAAAATGTAAATAAATAATAGAGGATAACTAATATAGTATGAGAACAAACCATTAGCAATCCATGGAAAAACAACAAACGAAGACATTTCATCATGCAAATACAACTATAACATAAAGAAAGTCAGTGGATACTATCACAAACTAACCCTGATTTTCAATAAAACCCCTAATAGATCCTACAGGAATCCTCTTTCTAGATCACAAACCCCTCACCAGCTCTCCAAATTGGGCTTAATCTGCACTCCAACTTTTCTCCATATTATATCTCCTCTATTGCAATGAACAACTTGTAGGATCAGAAGCTAACAGTGACTAATACTTTTTTTAACCCCCACAATCAAGCTAGCCACTGATGTTTATTACAGTCCATAAACCATTTATCAACCAATCCTGTTTGCTAAAAGGCCTCTATTACAAACACTTTTGTGATGCATTATGGATATTTCGTTAAAAACAATTCTTCCCCCCTTCAATATGGTGGGCAGCAGCCTCACTTTTCATCAATCAATTCAATTTATGTAAATCCCTCAATAATGGAGCTTGCTATCATTCAATCATGCAGCATATTATCTATCAACATCCAGAAAAAAGTAATAAGATTCTTTTATGAATATTTATTCAACCAAAAATATAAAAAGCCTGTTGTAACTAATCAAAAGCCGGAAAACTATAACTTTTTTTTGCCAAACAACTAAACCATTGAACACAGCAACCAATATTTTCCATTACTAATATACCCAAATCAATTTGTTCAATATTCACTTCATTTCACAAGCATACAGTTCTGTAATTAAATCCATCTAAGCTGGAAAAAAGCATCAAATTCAATTAATTTCTTAATCCAAATGTATACATCATTTACAAAAAGCTGCCCTCCAAAGACAACACAAAAAAGCACATAGAATCAGAAATTTAATCAAAGTTAAATCCATCGTCATTGAGCAGCAAAGAAGACATAAAAAAGAATTCACACCAATCAAACCTAATTAATTACAACAATTCTCAAATTTTCAACTTATTTTCTTTTCCCAAGGCAATAACAAACAAATAGCATAACAGCTATTTTATTTTCCAGCAACCAAAAATGTCAAAATAATCCAAAAACAAATAAAAATCCATCAAATCCCTAACATGATTAAAGCGAATGCAACAACTAAAAAAACATGGAATCAACAATTTACTCAACAATTTGAAACCATAAAACCCCTAATAGGAAAAGCGAATCACGTCGAATTCAAATTTTATGAAGCCCAAAGCCCTAACTATAAATTCATATATGAACACACATATATGAATAGAGAGAGAGAGGATGAAATAGAAAAACATACTTGCGGAGAGCAGGGGCCATCTTGTTGGTGAGAGTGCCAGCAACGATCATACAGTCGGACTGCCTAGGGCTGGGCCTGAAGATAATACCGAAGCGATCCAAATCGTAGCGCGCGGCACCGGTGTGCATCATCTCAACGGCACAGCAGGCCAGCCCGAAGGTCATAGGCCAGATAGACCCACGGCGTGCCCAATTCATCAGATCATCCACCTTGGAGATGACGAACTCCGCCGCCTTGGAGAGACCCGGCGGCGACGTCGCTGACGGAGGCGGCGGACGGGAGTAAGGCGTCGGTGGAGATGGCTGAGAGAGCGATGGGAGTGTGGTGTGGATCGTCGCGGCCCTTTGGGGCGCCATTAGGCCCAGGCGGTACGCGTTTCGAGCGAGTAGAGCCATGGAATCGTTGGAGAGAGAGAGAGAGAGAGGCGTTGTTTACAGGTTTTGTTAGAGTGACGAATCGAGCGGGTTCTATTTTCGGGTTCATTTGGGTCGTGACTTTTTAGTTGGGAATGTAGTTGTTTGATGGTTACTGAATAATATTACGCCACGTCAGCTATTCGGGCTGCAATATTGCCCCCAAACATTGTTTGACTACGTCATCCCTCTTCGAGGTCTCTTTCCCAAAAAAAATAAAAAATAAAAAAATAATATCTGCCACCACTACACATATATGGAACTCTCCGTGTCTAGACACTAGAATTGTGCGTTTATGCATCTGTTTGTTTGTTGAGCTAACATGTTGATACACTGGCGGATCCCGGGGGTGGGCTTGAGCCACGTGTTGATAATTACTGGCGGATCCAGGCTTGAGTCCCAATATATATATATATATATAGTTATTATAGCAACTTTTATCTCAGCCCAAAAAAAAAAAAAAATTATTACTAGTATTAGCCCATTAAAAAAAATTATTACTACTATTAGTCCATTCCATTAATAATTTTTGGATCCGTCCTTGTTGTTAATAGTGAGATATTGTAGACTTTATCATCAAGTGGGGTAATAAGACATGACACTTCAACACTACATCTGGGGAAAGAAAAATAACGAGAAATTATTGCATGGGAATGGTCCTGACAAATCACTAATTAAAAAAAAAAAAAAATTAAATAACATAAAGGCTTCTCATGAAAGACCTTACTACATGGTGTCGACCAATCATAAGTCGCCACACAAAAATAATACTAATAATGATAATAATTAAATTGACATATTTAATTGTATGACTACTTGCAATTGGGTAAGATCACATAGTCTCAAATCATGTAATAATTTATCTGAGTTTATAGTTTAAGGTGGTGTTTTATTTTAACTTTATGTTATCCAACAATGTAATAATATTTGAATTTTCAGAGCAAAGTTAGAAATATTCATTTGGAGGGCAAACTAATTATATAAAATTAAATTTTTTATAAAATAAAATAATTTTAAAGATTATTTTTGTTTTTAATATGTATTGCTAAAAATACGAAAAATAATTATTAGAATTAAATTAATATGGGTGTTTATGAGTATCTATTTCAAATTGTTTAATAGTATATGCATTAGATTACAAGTTTACCCGTCACCTACCGCATAAGTTTCTTATATGTTACTTGTTCATTACCCAGGTACCCCCAAATCTTCTCCCACATATAACATTTATGTAATCTTCATAAATGCAATACAATATCATATTTATTCTCTCTCTTAATATTTTAACATGGTAAAATAAAATTAATTAATTTGTTAATATTTCATGAATATATTACTCATTTAAAAAAATGGTAGTTATAAATCTGTTTATTTTTTTTATTTTTATGATAAATTGATACTAATAATAAAATTAAGAAAAATAGTATAATTAATATTTAGTTAAGAGAAAAGACAATAAAAATAATTTAATAAGAAATGACAAATTGAATGAGAAAAATAGTATTTTACGATGAGTTTGTCCTTAATTGCACCAAATCCAATAATTCAAGGGGGTAATTTTTAGTCCAAATGAATTATTTACAAAAAGACAATAATTTTAGGGGGCTTTTTGCACTTTTACCCTTATTATTATTATATCAAATATTATCAAAACTCTACTAATATTTTCTTCGACGCGCTAGTACATAGCAGTCTTGCTAAAGGACGTGGTCAAATCAACATTATGTTTAGTATGTGTCAGTTAAGTGCGTTTATTACTTTTTTTTTTTTACTTTTATTTTATTTTATTTTATTTTATTTATTTTTTCATTTTTCAATCTCAAGAAAGAGAAATATGATTTTACTTTTTGAATGAAAATAGAAAATAAAAATGGCAAACATTAACATTTGTTGTTGTCACGCAATAAAGTGTTTAGTAATACAATATGTACAAAATATATATATTGTTTAACATTTTATTACTAATTTTTTCTTTATTACCAAAAAGCCTTAAATATGGACAACATGCAATTCCATTATTTCACAAATATTAAAAATACTCAACATGTGATAATAAAATACAATATCCAATTTTAAATTACAAATCCTAATAATACCACATACATAAATACAAAATGAGATATACTAACATAAAAATACTTTCACTAATTATGTATATAAATACATATATATACATCATGTATACAAATATATAGTATATTTTAATACATGAAATTGTTAAAATAATATATCTTGTATGTAATAAAATATATAATGAATTATAATATTAAAAATATTATAATCATAATTCACACTATTATATAATATATACATTGAAAAAATATATTTTTATTACTATTTAATATGTTGCACTAGTATATACATGAATAATAGGAATTTTATTTGAAATGAATAGTGCATGTGTAATAATAATAATAGCGATAATATTTTTGTATTACAATGCCGAAAACAAAAGTAACACTTTTTTGATGTTTTCTTTTTTCTTCAAAACAAAAAAAGAAAAAGGAAAACGTTTTCAGTATAAAAAAGCAAAAATATATTATTAAACATGATTTGTGTTTTTTGCCTTTTTATAGGAATTGATAATAGAAAACAAAAAAAATGTTTTTCTTACTGCGATCTAAATAAAACACTTATGCACGTTTTTTAAAAAGAAACATGATTTTGCTTTTCGGCCTGAAAACAAAAAGACAAAATGGTGTTTATTCATACCAGTTATTGCCACAAATTTTAAAACAGGAGACAATAACTATATTTTGGATATATCATGTTTAACTGCTCAAAACATCTCACATGGACAAAAGTCTAAAGTACCCCGAGGGCATTTTATACGTGATAACTCGACTAATGCAGATATGAAGGTTTGGTAAAAGGCCACGCATTTAGTGGCCCCACCCTCGTAGACTTTCTCCTCAATTAGTTGTGGCACTTCAACATCACATCTAAAAAGAAAAGTGCCACGTCAGAAATTATTACATAATTATGAAATTAAAGGTCACAACAAATTACTGACTGACATTCAAATTAAAAAAAAGGCTGAATAGAGCTAACATAAAGCTTCCCACTAGCAACAGTATTTCAATGTAATGTCTTACATGTCAAGTGAGAAATTATTATATTTTCCTGATCAATCATAAAATTTACATATTTAATTGATCGTGATCACATAATTCGGAATTATGTAATTATTTATTTGAACTTGAAATTTAAGACGTTTGTATGTATAGAAAGTCGGTCTTAATTTTTTGGTAGACAAAATATATACACCTATTATGTAACTCAACGTCACGATTTTCCTTCAAAATTTCAAATTCTATATCTATTTTAAACTATGCTATTATTTTTAAACATTCGAGTTAAATATGTTATGATAGATTCAGGTAACTTTAACTTGTAATTTAAGGCATTGGTCTAATAAATTTTAGCTTTACCTCACCGATGTAATAATCTTTGTATATTCAGGGCAATATTCATTTGAGGGCAAACTAGTAATATAAAATAAAATAAATAATGTAAAGAATTTTCTTGTTTTTAATGTATATTGTTAAAAATACCAAAAATATTTATTCAATTAAATTAATGTGGGTGTTTATGAGTACATATTTCAAATTGTTTTAGTATATGTACTCAACTTTGTTGTGTTTATTTGAAAGTGAACTTCCCCCAACCCCCCCCCCCCCAAAACAAAAAAAAAAAAAAAAAAAGTAATAAATGATTTATGCGAAGAGTGGGTTTTTAGAATAATTTTTGGGCATTGTAAAAGTTAAATTTTTTTAAAGCACTGAAATTGAGGTGGTAAATGTATACCATAATTATGTAGAGAGATCTAGCGTGTAGATATCATATCCCAAGAGGAAATGGGTGAGCAATTGATTATGAAAAAATTGACGTTAAAATATATATATATATATTCTTTTAAAAATTCTTTTTTAAAAAGTAATTTGACATCAACCAAGACGAAATTTAATTTCTAACTGATTATTATTTCTAATGAATTTACCATAACTGAAAATTGAAAGATATTGAGCGTAGTTTCGTTTTTTTTTGGTCAAAGATAATACATAATATTTTTTTTTATAAAGTTATATATATTTGAAGATATGCCGTTTAATGAAAAAATAAAATAAAAAGTACACCTATAGTTTCATATTGTTCAAATGAGACGGTTAGAAATAAATGAATGAAAAAATATGATATTGTATTGTTATTATATATAGGTTTACAATTTATGATAGGTGACGTGGCATTACTCTTGGCTCTGCTACTCATTGTGTCAGACATGACAAGTGCGGTACTACTGATGGCATCGCTGTTGACTGTGTTTGAGATGAAGCGCTAATGAGACGAAATTATGACTCTATTGTCGTGAAACTGCAATGATATGTGAAATTAATTTGAGATATAAATTGAAAATTATATTGATGTGTATAATACAAGAATACATAGGGATTTATATAGAAGAGAACACCGAGAGCAAATAAACTCCATATAAAATAATGATACATATGGTAATGAAGATAGGTGATGATCGCTAACCCTAAACCTAGAATACAATACATAATATAATCCGAGAGTAACAAGGTAAGGTTATTGATGATATGTAATATTTAAAAAAGATCAAATGCATGTTCATTTCTATTCACAATTTCTAAAAAAATTCTTCACCGTTTTGTCTAATTTATTTATTTATTTATTTGTTTTAATTTCAATCTTATTTTAAAACTTAAATAGAGACCCATTTTAAATAATAATAATAAAAAAAACCTTAGTTAGACTAACTTTCATTAAATTACAGAAATAAAAATACATAAATGTTCCCTAAAGTTGTTGAGAGGTGTTTTGGCAAATGGAAGTAAAACACGTGGATTTTATCAAGGTTTTCCATGATCCACTAGATTGACCAACAATGGTCCAATTAATAGTGAAGCATACTTGGGGATGACTACGACATTATTATAATACATTTTGGAAATTCAATAACTTTCCAGAATTATCCCTTTATTTAACAAAATTATGAATTTAGTCACAATTTGAATTGGAAAAGGAACTAATCCCTAATATATCTTACTTAGGATCAACGTGCAAAAATATAGAAAATTGTACGATCTCAAAAAATCTCAATTTTTTTACATTAATTTTTAGCAACTACCAAGGTTTGCTTATGGAAATTGTGGAATCAGTATCTTGAAAATTAATGGCACCAAACTCGTACTACTATCTTCACAAATTTTAATCTAAACTTAATTTGAGTAACAACTAACAACAGTATACATTTTTATTCATACAAATACAAAAATAAAAGGTAAAAATGAAACAGCTAACAAATGCAAGCCAATGTGAAAAGAGATCTATGACTTTTTAGGAAGCATGAAAACGAACATGAACACGAGATATAAGTACGACGAACACGAGATATAAGTACGACGACATGATACAGCAACGACGATACAACAAATCTAAATAAAATAGGACATAGAAGCAGTATGAATACGTCAAATAATAATAATATATTATATTATATTATTATATCTATATATATAATAATTTTTATTTTTATATTTTATTAATACAATATCTGGAGCTATGTTTGTTATTTTTGCTTTCTTAAATTTTCTATTATTTTTTAATTAATCCATAATATATTTTAAATTGCTTTAAATCACAATCTTCTAAAACAATTAAAAAACCACTTTGTGAAAAGTCAACATGCTGGTATATACTTATTGTTACTTAGATTTAGCAAGCTAATTGTCATGTTCCGCGACCAGAGGTTATGTCACACGCAAATGCCCAACAGAAGATCATGACAGAGTAGCTTGCATGGACCGGGAACTTTCTAGACTTCTCTACATGAGCTTGGAAAGGTTGAAATCCGTCAAGATAACCTCAAGTAGTTAGGGGAAAGCTTTTTGTGTAACGCAAGGGAGCACATTTCCAGTAGCATCAAACCAGTTTGGAAAAGGAAGAGAAAAAAAAACTGTCCTCGTCGTGCATGTGTCTCAGCTATGAAAAAAGTAAAATATTTAAATTTCAGACACTTCCATGTCCAACACTGCCACAACACCCCTAAGTGAAGTGTCTGATGCTTTCTAGAAGTTGTACACGCACAAACACCAAAAATAAAAAATAAAATACAAAATTAAAAAAAAAAACAGAGATTTCAAACTCCAATAATAAAAGATGCAATGACAACAAGCATGCTGAAAAAAATAATAATAATCAATTACAAAAAGAACAAATTTTATGTTTTGGTGGGTAAATAAGCATATTATTAGAAGAACCAACTATTCCTAGATAGGCCAAAAGAGTACATGAAAAAGAAACAAAAAAATGAATATGAAATGCAGTCAGTATCCAAATTAATAACAATATTAAGTATTTTAAAGTATTTATATGCATGGTTGTAGCTTAGTAATACTTTCGCACCTTTTAAAATGGAAAAATGAGAATTCTAATCTTCAATAAGACAAAGTGGGTGCGTGATTCTTATCAAGAAAATAAAACTATATATATATGTATATATATATATATGCATATAAACTGACATTTGTATGACCTTTTGCTCAAGAGGAAGTGTCAAACAGATGAGCATAGGATGAGGTGGAGAGTATGTGAAGCAGATTAATCAACAATGACAATTTTTAGTGGAAGGCCAAGAAGATTGCTATCATACTGTGTGCGCAAAAAAAGTTGAACATAAGCAATTCTTATACAAAACAGAGTCACCAATACAACCAAAAAAAAAAGGTTAAGAGAGTCAACTATTGAAATCTAATCTGAACAGTTATTAAGAAAAAATTAACATATATAAATCTATTAATTTTATGAAAAAAACATAATAGATTCATTCCATTACATGACAAAACAAGTCTGCAAATTTTTTTTTTAAAGTATTTACGCTGATGGTGAACAACATATTTTCAAGCAAAAACAAGGAATGCAACAAGATACTTTTCCCAAGAAAAAAATTTCTCTATCTGATGCCTTGTGGTGGGAGCAAAATAGATGGGGAGTAGATTCCAACTTGGCCATTTTTGTTCTTTAGGATGCTCTCCCTTTTGAGCACTCTTTAATGAAAATTTACTAATCCAAAAATTATATAAATAAACAAAAAGTTCCCATGGAAAACAGAATATCAAAACCATATTGAGAACCAAGAATAATTTGGCATTGAAAATCACAGAGACAATAAGAAGTTTAAAAGAAATCATCAAACGTCCTTATTTTAAACACACACACAAAAAAGAAAAAAAAAAAAAAAAAGGCATATACAAATTAAAATTCTATGAAGAACATGATAGATTCATCATGGTACTATCAGTGGTGAACTTTTAGTATTACAAGAATATTTTGAATCGGCATTCAAAACCCTCAAACATTCTGTCACCCAAAGATTCTTGAGTGAAAGAAAGCCCGGGTTATAAGTAACTGGTGTGAACCTCAATGCACGAACCTCGAGTTGAGTAAACCTCCTTTCTTTCGGATTATAAGAAACCATGGCACCATCACATGACACCAACATCTCTCCGTCTTTCCAAACCATGACCGGGTAAAGTGACTCATGAAGCAGCCCACCCGGAAGTGTGTTTCTCAAAATGCAATCTTTAGTCCAAGAAGTAGCAACTCCATAATCTTTCATCGACCATATATCAAGAGAATGGCTCCCCCTATTATCAAATACACAGAGACAGTTCCCCAACACTCCCAAACTAACAAAATCTATTTTATTTCGAATATCTAGGGGCAGTGGAATTGGGCGGAATTGTTCATCCTCAATGTCAAAGGAATATATAGAATAAGAAAATATACTATCAACTTCAAAGCCTACAATCCAATGAAGAGCCCCATTCAGAATAACACCAAACCGTTTTCCGGGAACAGGGGATAAACCTTCACCCACATTTCTCCATGTACCAGTTCGAAGAGTACAAACCTGAGAGATAGTCCCTGATTTTTGAATGAGTTTGTGCACACAATGCCTACGTTTTTCACTCGCAATTCTTACAACCTTATACTGGTTGGTGGCAGAACTAAATCCAAACCCATATGCCACACAATAAAGTTCTTCCCGTGGTTTGGGTTTCGGAAGGGCAACATATTCTCCCAAAATTGGGTTGCTAATGTAAAGACTGTCAGTATGTTGTCCATTCCAGAAACAGAGCAAACCATTACAACAACTCACTAATTGTAGCTCGGGGTAAGATGTATTTGTATTTTGGAAACACATACGCTGATCAATGTAGTTAGTTTGATGTGCAAGTTCAAGTAACTCGAAACCACAGCCAACCCAAGACATGATGATGTTGATGTAGGGCATTTTTGCAAGCCGAACGCTGTTGAAATAAGGGTAGGTTGAACCAGGTTTTGCAAACGCACCTGCAGTGTAAGAGCGTTCGCGTTGTAAGCTTGGACAGAATGTCCACAACGATGGGGGAAGGAAGATCCATCATGGAAACTCCGTAGTGTGAGAGTATTTCTTGCCCTTGATTTTTGTTTTCTGCTACTGCAGTTGCCAAACTATCTCTTCTACATCTTTTATACTTTTCCATGGCTTGATTTTTCCTTTTGAATGTTCACTTGATCCCACAATTCTTCTCAATTGGTGCCTCTCTCTCTCTCTCGATCTTCAGGGGCTATCACGCACAGCTTACTTCCGCTAGCTTCCACTTTATATGGATTTCACGCTCGGACTCACTCCTGTATGACTTCGGTTTTTCAACTTTTTCAAAATCTCACTTGTAAAAGGAGTAAACTTCGAGTAGATTCATCACGAAGAAAAAAGGGAAACTTTTATGGATATATATATATTCGAAGATTCCTTAACCAAGAGGGAGAAAAGTGGTTTAGGAAATATTAAAGTAGTGATCGTGTTATATTAGGAAAGTAAAAAGAAAGTGGGTTTATAGTAGTATAGTTGGCTTATACTTAACGGTCACTAATCACTGTACAAAGGTGAGGATAAAATTTCTATATATATATATATATAACGAACAACCCTCACAGCCAACTCCGTCACCGACAGTGCTGACTAAAGCCTTAGGCCATTGCCTATCCCCCAGCCAATAGGAAGGTTCCAAAGTTTTGAAAATTCCTTATATAAATTATATTATGTTAATTATTTAATAATATTATTAAACACTAAATAATATAGAAATTAAATATTTCTATATTAAAGATTTATGTTTGAAAATAATTTTTTTTTCTCTCTCTCCTTTTCATTCAGGTATTTTTTTTAAAATTAAACTCTACCTAGTGCAGAAATTTAATATTGGGCAATAAAGATTTATATCCTTTGTTTGACTTTTTCTCTATCTCTCTCTCTCTCTCTCAACCTCATTCAAATTTTTATTAAACCCTAATTAATACATAACATTCTTATGTAACCTTTTTTTTTTTTTTTTTTTTTTTTTTTTTGTCTCTTTCTCTCTCTTATTCACATTTGTTACAAGAACCCCCCCCCCCCCTCTCTCTCTATGTACACACACACACATTTCAATGAGTTACATTCGCAGTATATATTTTATTTAGTTGTTATTTGGGAAAGTTGCGAACTTTTCATATTCTTTTTCAATAAGTTACATAAATATTGTATGAATATTAATATATTAACGGACACTTATAGCAAAGTAATAAGGATCTTAAAAATATCATATATATATAAATTTTTTAAAGGTACATATATCATTGGGGCGGGGCGGGTTTATCACTAAATCCGCCTTTGCCCCTAGCTAGCTGCAAATTTTTAATTATTTTATCATATTCATTTTAAACCCGTTTCGAATTTTTAATTATTTTATCATATTCATCCCAAATCCATTTAAAGAGCTTCCAAATCCATCCCACTAGAGGCTGGGCAGGGCGGGGTGGAAACTTGTCGGAACGGGGGAAATTGCCATCCCTACATTACACGGTTTTTTTAGACAATTTATTTGACAAAAACAATATGCATCAAAAATAAAATAAATTATTATAGGCATGTTGGTTCTAACCATAAGAACACTGCTAGCACATTTTTGTCATACTTTAGTCTCTTTTTATTAGTTATAATTTCTTTTCAATTTTAGTTGCATATAAATGTGGTGGTGTTACTCGAGTAATAAAAGACTTTTTGGTGATTCCATGAATATTCTCATGAATTTTTACATAAGCTACTTTGCTTGCTTACTAATATTCATGTGATTATATTTACTTAATTTTGCTAAGCTACTTTGTCTCTTTATTAACCTACTAGTCCTTAAACGTATTCATTTCATTAAATAAGAGTGTTTGAGTGTTTCTTGCCAATTTTTATTTTTTGCTATTGCTTTTGCTTGAAAGGGTTGTTGCTAAATTGATTGCACAAGAAAAACCTAGAAAAGAAAGCTCCTATTTTCCATCTCTGTTATTTGTTCTTCCCCAAGCAGAGTTAAATTCCAAATACCATAGGTCTCTCAAAAAATTCTGATACCAATGAGTTTTGATTTAATTAGGGTGAAATGCCAAAAAAAAAAAAATCCTCTTGACTTGCAATCATCTGCAATAAACTACTCTTTTGATTTTTTTTTTTTTTATAGCACAAAACCCCCTCAATTATCTGAAGGGGTGCTCAACTATTATCTGCAGATTGACACGTGACATTTAAAATCTATCTAGTGCTTGTGTTAAACTACGTCAATTAATTTAAAGAAAGTTTGAAAACTGCACCGTTCTGAGATAAGAAAAATTTACCAAAATTTGAAATCTGCACCGTTTTGAAATAAGAAAAATTCACCATTAAGGTTTTAACTAACATGGGCAAAACCCTCAAGGAATGTACATATATAAGGATTAAATACAATTAGATATGGTAGAATAAAGAATAAAAATACATTAAGGTTCATCCATCCTTTGCAAGTCATCTACCAAAAAAAAAACAAGAAAAAAAAAAAAAAATTGCTTCCCTGTCTCATACATTAATTTCAATCCTTCCTGGTGCAATTAGAGAGCATAGGATGTGGTGGAGAGTATGTGAAGCAAATTAATCAAGAATGACAGTTTTTAGTGGAAGGCCAAGAAGATTGCTATCATACTGTATGTGCAAATAAAGTTGAACATAAGCAAGTCTTATACAAAACAGAGCCACCAATACAACCAAAAAAGATGTTAAGAGAGTCGACTACTGAAATCTAAAGAACAATTAAGAGTCTGTGGGGGTTCGTTTTCGTAACACAATAAAATACATATAAATGGTGATATTATACACAAATCTGAGTGATCCAGACAACATAATAGAATCCGAGGTGGACTGAGAGAGTTGGAAGCACAAGTAAACTTGAGAGAGAGAGAGAGAAAGAGGATGGCAGTGTACTAACCATCATTGACTCCCTTGGTAAATGTTTAAGGGTTGTGAAGACAACCTATGAGAGAGATACTTAGAGCTCTCAATGTCTAGGAGGTGTTTTTCTCCCTGTTTGCTTTACCCCTCTTGGCTTTGGAACACTTCCTTATATAGGCCAGGTGAGAGGTTGAATGATGTCATTGGATGGCATCACATATGAATTAATTAATAGAATAATTAAAAGAGAGAAATATCTCAAATAATTATAAAGCTATATTAAAATGAGGTTGATAATTTTCGGGAGTCAAAATGGTATTTCTTTCTCTGCAAGTCAGGTTGAGGATCAACTCGACGAGCCCTGGACTTCAGCCACCAAACCAAGTACCTCTCGGATCCCAGGTAATCCTGAGTCCTACTTCCAACTCAAGTCTTTAAGTCTTCGTTCTTCTGTTCGAGGTATACTGATAACGTGGTAAATGACGTAATTCTTTGACTATTTGACCAAGCTACGTGGGCCGTGTAGGCTAACACATTTTCAACACCTACAGAGTCCAACAAAAATTTTCCCATCAAATAATCCTTGACCTAAACCAAGCTTGCAAAATGAGAAATTGCCTCTAACCATTGCTAATAATTTGTAAAATAATTATGTCGATTGTTTGACTAGAATTTGAAGAAGAAAGAGACATGCATCACATCAGAAGAACAATTTACTCGGCTACGTACAAGTGCAAATAAATGATAACTAATAGATTCATCATGGTACTATCAGTGGTGAAACTTTAAGTATTACAATAATATTTTGAATTGGCATTCAAAACCCTCAAACATTCTGCCATCGGAACATTCTTGAGTGAAAGAAAGCTCGGGATATAAGTAACTGGTGTGAACCTCGACGCATCAAACTTGACTTGAGTAAACCTCCTTTCTTTTGGATTATAAGAAACCATAGCACCATCACATGACACCAACATTTCTCCGTCTTTCCAAACCGTGATCGGGTAAAGTATCTCACGAAGTAGCCTACTCGAGTGTGTTTCTCAAAATGCAGTCTTTAGTCCAAGACGTAGCAACTGCATAATCTTTCATCGACCATATATCAAGAGATTGGCTCCCCCTATTATCAAATACACAGAGACAGTTCCCCAACACTCCCAAACTAACAAAATTTCTTTTATTTCGAATATCTAGAGGCAGTGGAATTGGGCGGAATTGTTCATCCTCAATATCAAAGGAATATATAGAATAAATTTTTTTACGATCAACTAAAAAGCCTACAATCCAATTAAGAACCCCATTCAGAATAACACCACACCGTTTTCCGGAAACGGGGAAGAAACCTTCACCCACATTTCTCCATGTACCAGCTCCAAGAGTACAAACCTGAGAGACAGTCTCTGATTTTTGAGTGATTTCACAGGTTTTACTCACAATTCTGACAACCTTATACTGGTTGGTGGCAGAACTAAATCCAAACCCATATGCCACACAATCAAGTTCTTTCCTTGGTTTGGGATTTGGAAGGGCAATATATTCTCCCAAAATTGGATTGCTGATGTAAAAATTGTCATTAGGGTGTCCATTCGAGAAACATAGCAAACCATTGCAACAACCCACCAGTTCTAGCTCGGGGTAAGATGTTTTTGTATTTCGGAAACACATACGCTGACCAATGTAGTTAGTTTGATGTGCAAGTTCAATTAAGTAGAAACCATAGTTCTGCGAAAGAATGATAATTTTGATGTAGGGCATTTTTGCAAGCCGAACGCTATTGAAATAAGGGTCCAAGAGTAGGTTGAACCAGGTTTTGCAAATGCACCTGCAGTTTAAGAGGGTTCGAGTTGGAAGCCTGGATAGAATGTCCACAACGATGGGGGAAGGAAGATCCATCATGGAAAAATCTGAGTGTGAGAGTATTTCTTGCCCTTGATTTTTGTTTTCTGCTACTGCAGTTGCCAAATAACTCTCTCTTCTGCATCTTTTATACTTTTCCATGGCTTGATTTTTTCCTTTTGAATGTTTACTTGATCCTACAATTCTTCTCAATTGGTGCCTCTCTCTCTCTCTTCAGGCGCTATCACGCTCAGCTTACTTCCGTTGGCTTCCACTTTATATGGATTTCACGCTCAGACTCACACTTCTGTATGACTTGGGTTTTTCAACTTTTTCCAAATCTCACTTGTAAAAGGAGTAAACTCCAAATAGATTCATCCACGAAGAAAGAAAGGAAACTTTTATGTATATTCAAGGTTTCCTTAACCAAGTGGGAGAAGAGTGGTTTGGGAAATTTTAAAATAGTGATCGTGTTATATTAGGATAGTAAAAAAAAAAAAAAAAACGTGGGTTTGTAGTAGTCTAGTTAGATTATATTCAACGGTCACTAATCACTGTACAAAGTTGCGGATAAAACAACTCTCACAACCAACTCCATCATGTACCGTGCTGACTAAACTAATTATTTTATAATATTATTGAACACTAAATAATATAGAAATTTAATATTGGGCTTAAAGATTTATATCTGAAAATAATACGGATTATATATTTATTTCTTCTCTCCTCTTCATTCAATTTTTTTAATTAAACTCTAACTAGTGCAGAAATTTAATATTGTGCCCTAAAGATTAATATCCTCAAACGACTTATTTATTTATTTTTCTTGTTTCTCTATCTCTCATTCTCATTCTCATTCAAATTTTTATTAAACCCTAACCAATACAGAATATTTTTAAGTAACTTTTTTATTTTTTAATTTAATTTTATTTTTGTCTCTTTCCCTCCCTCTTATCCACATTTGTTACACAACCACTCTCCCTCTCTCTGTATATATATATTTCAATGAGTTGCATTCGCAGTAAATATTGTATTTAGTCGTTATTTAGGGAAGTAGTGAAACTTTTCATATTATTTTTCAATGAGTTACATTTGCAGTAAATATTGTATGAATATTAATATATTAACGAACACTTGTAGCAAAGTAACAAGGGTCTTAAAAATATTATAGTATATATATAATTTTTAAAGGTACATATATAATCGGGGTGGGTTTATCACTAAATATGCCTTCGCCCCAAACCCGTTTCGAATTTTTAATTATTTTATCATATTCATATATCCTAAACCCATTTAAGGAGCTTCCAAATCTATCCATTAGAGGCGGGGCGGGGTGGAAACCTGCCGGAGCGGGAAATTGCCATCCCTACATTATAGGATTTTTTTTTAGACAATTTATTCGACAAAAACAATGTGCATCAAAAATAAATAAATTATTACAGGCGTGTTGGTTCTAACGGTAAGAACACTGCTAGCACGTTTTTGTCATATTTTAGTCTCTTTTTATTAGTTATAATTTCTTTTCAATTTTAGTTGCATATAAATGTGGTGGTGTTACTCGAGTGGTAAAAGATTTTTGGTGATTTCATGAATATTCTCATGAATTTTTAATTTTTTACATAAGCTACTTTGCTTGCTTAGTAATATTTATGTGATTATATTTACTTAATTTTGCTTGCTAAGCTACTTTGTCTCTTTATTAACCTAATAGTCCTTAAGCGTATTCATTTCATTAAATAAGTATGTTAGAGTGTTTCTTGCCAATTTTTATTTTTTGCTTTTGCTTTGCTTGAAAGGGTTGTTGCTAAATTGATTCACAAGAAAAACCTAGAAAAGAAAGCTCATATTTTCCATCTCTGTCATTTGTTCTTCCCCAAGCAGAGTTAAATTCCAAATACCAAAGGTCTCTCAAAAATTTCTGATACCCATGAGTTTTGATTTAATTAGGGCGAAATGCCCCTCTTGACTTGCAATCGACTGCAATAAACTACTCTTTTGAATTTTTTTAAGCACAAAACCCCCCCTCAATTATCCGAGGGGGTGCTCAACTACTATTTGAGACCAAAATGCCCCTTTACTTGCTTTGCTGCTGCAATGGGTTACCGTTACTAAAATAAATCGAAGCAGGTCAGAGGCACTTCAATTTTAAGAACAAATCTCATCTATTTTTTTTTTTTTTGAAAGATACATCATATATACAAGGGATACCATATGGAGATCTAAGTCACATAAAGCAGGAGTTAGGGCGAGAGCGACAGCAAATTCGAGAGCGGAAGCGTGAGAACGGTAAAATTAAGTCATAAGCAGGGAGAATTTAAGGGAGAGCGCGTGCGGAGTGTAAAAGTAAGAACACACTCAGAACGTGAAAGCGACACATGTTGAGAAGGATTGTATAACTTAGACGAAGATAAGTCTTGATGTTTACACAAACTTTTAGTGAACATATGGGTGGCAAAACCCTTGAGGAATCCATAGGATTATTGAATACAATTAAATAGAGTAGAATAAAGAATAAAAATGCATTAAGATTCGTCCATCTTTTGCAAGTCATCCACACACAAAAACGCAAAAACACGAAGAAGAAAGAAAAAAAAAAAAAAAAAAAATTGCTTCCCTGTCTCGGTCATTAATTTCATTCCTTGCTGGGGCAATCAGAGAGCATAGGATGAGGTGGGGAGTATGTGAAGCAAATTAATCACGAATGAATTTTTTAGTGAAAAGGCCAAGAAGATTGCTATCATACTGTGTCTGCAAAGAAATGATAACTAATAAAATTCGGTATCGACTTTCAAAACCCTCAAACATTCTGCCATCGCAACATTCTTGAGTGAAAGAAAGTTCGGGATGTAAGTAACTGGTGTGAACCTGGACGCATCAACCTTGACTTGAGTAAACCTCCTTTCTTTCGGATTATAAGAAACCATAGCACCATCACATGACACCAACATCTCTCCGTCTTTCCAAACCGTGATCGGGTAAAGTGTCTCACGAAGCAGCCCACGCGGAAGTGTGTTTCTCAAAATGGAATCTTTAGTCCAAGACGTAGCAACTCCATAATCTTTCATCGACCATATACCAAGAGAATGGCTCCCCCTATTATCAAATACACAGAGACAGTTCCCCAACACTCCCAAACTGATCAAATCTTTTTCATTCCCAATATCTAGAGGTAGTGGAATTGGGCGGAATTGTTCATCCTCAATATCAAAGGAATATATAGAATAAGAAATTTTATGATCAACTATAAAGCCTACAATCCAATGAAGAGCCCCATTTAGAATAACTCCACACCTTTTTCCCCGAAGTGGGAATATACCATCTCCCACATTTTTCCATGTACCAGTTCCAAGAGTACAAACCTCAGTCTCCGATTTTCGACCCGTTTTACGCACAATTCTTACAACTTTGTACTGGTTGGTGGCAGAACTAAATCCGAACCCATACGCCACAAAATCAAGTTTTTCCTGTGGTTTGGGTTTAGGAAGGGCAACATATTCTCCCAAAATTGGGTTGCTAATGTAAAAACTGTCATTAGGATAGCCATTCGAGAAACAGAGCAAACCATTACAACAACCCACTAATTCTAGCTCGGGGTAGGATGTGTTTGTATTTCGGAAACACATACGCTGATCAATGTAGTTACTTTGATGTTCAAGATCAATCAAGTCGAAATGACAGTCCATAAAAAGCATGATAATACTGAGGAAGGACATTTTTGCAAGGCGAGCATTATTGAAATAAGGGTCTAAGAGTAAATTGTACCAGGTTTTGCAAACACACCTGCTTTGTAAGAGGGTTCTGGTTGGGAGCCTGGAAAGAATGTCCACAACGATGGAGGAAGGAAGATCTATTACGGAAACTCCAGAGTGTGAAAGTGTTTCTTGCCCTTGATTTGTGTTTTCTGCTACTGCTTTGCTTGAAAGGGTTGTTGCCAAAGCACTTCTTCTGCATCTTTTATACTTTTCCATGGAAATTAAAAAGAGAAAATTCACATAAAATTTGATAATGCATGCATTGATAATTAAATAGGTTGATCTCTGCACTGTGTATATATATAGTTAAAAAAAAAAAAAATTCATATGACAAAACCAATGCTACCAGCCTACCAGGAAACAAAACCTACTCTTGAAAGGAAACTGACACTAAAAAGTAAGTTTCTAAAAAAAATAAAGAATACTAAATATAGAAGGAAAGTGCAAGTCCACGAGGAGATGGATAAGGAAGGAGAAATTATCATAAAGTTACGGGATAAAAAAAAAATAAAAAAATTACGGGATAAAAAAAAAATAAAAAAAACTAAATAGAACTAACATAAAGATTCTCCGGAAGGAATTTACTATTGACACTTCTCAACGTGATGTCTTCCATGTCAAGGGTGTGAGGAATTATTACTTTGGCCAATAACAAATTGAGAGGCAATAAAAAAAATTTAAATAAAATTTGTACATTTAATTACGTAAAAATTTGTGATTGATCGAGATCACCCAATTCCGTATAATAATTTATCTGAACTCATAATTTAAGATGTGTATGTATAGAAAATCAATCTTAATTTTTGGCGTGGACAAAATACATACACCTATTGTGTCTCTCCCAACATCACGATTTTCCTTCAAATTCTATCTCTATTTTAAAATATGCTATTATTTCTGAATATTCGTTAACAAGCTATGAGAGATTCAAGTGACTACCTCGTTTAAAGTTAAGGCATTAGACTAAATTACCGACGTAATAATCTTTGTATTTTCACTGCAGAGTCAGATCTATATTCATTTGGAGGGCAAATTAATAATATAAAATTAAATAAAATAATGTAAATTTTTTTTTTTCTTATTATTATTTTTATGTATATTGTTAAAAATACCAAAAATATTTATTAAAATTATATTAATGTGGGTGTTTATGAGTATAATGTACTCAACTTTTTTGTGTTTATGTGAAATTGAAGTTTCACCAAAAAAAAAATTGTTAAATGATTTATGCAACAGTTGGAACAGTTGGTTTGTAGAATAATTGTTGGGCGTTCACAAACTTAAATTTTTTTAAAGCACTGAAATTGAGGTGTTAAATATCTACCAAAATTTTGTAGAGAGTTTTAGCGTGTGCATGTCCTAAAAGGAAAGCCTATAAATAGGAAATAGTTTTATTTGTAACATTAAGTGAGAAGGAATAAAATTCTCTTTAATTACTCTCATATTGGATTGGTCAAGTGATGGGTAAAAAAGCTTACTTGACTGAAAACGACCCAAAACAGAAGAAGAATTAAGAAAAATGATTCAAATATATATAGAGAATTATATCTAAATACACACATATATTTACTAATTTTGTTTTGATTATTGTGATTTTCCCCTTTTGAGCACTCTTAATAGACAAAAATTTGATTGGGAGGACAGAAAATTTTAAACCTTATTGAGAACCGAGAATAACAGTATGAGAACCGAGAATAACAGTATAAATAGAAGGTCACAAGAAATCCTCAAATGCCCTTACTTCATACACATAGCAACAAAAACACACACATTAAAATTGTATAAACAACAAGATAGATTCATCTCAATATTTCTCCAAAGCATGATGTCGTTGGGGTGTACTTAAGCCCCAGATCATTGTATGACTCAGTTAAGAGTACAACAAAAATTTTCCCATCAAATAATCGTTGACCAAAACCAAGCTTGCGACCGCAAAAATTACTTTTTAACTCTTGCTAATAATTTCTAAAATAATTATGTCTGTAATTTGTGTGGACTAGAATTTGGAGGAGAAAAAGATCGACATGCATCAAATCATAAGCACAATTTACTCAGCTATAAAGAAGAATCTAGTCGATAATAGCAATAGCACAATTTAACATACGGGTGAAACTATGAATCGACTTTCAAAACCCTCACACATTCTGCCATCTGAACATTCTTGAGTGAAAGAAAGCTCGGGATATAAGTAACTGGTTTGAACCTCGATGCACGAACCTGGAGTTGAGTAAACCTCCTTTCTTTCGGATTATAAGAAACCATCGCTTCTTCACATGAGACTAACATCTCTCCATCTTTCCAAAGTGTGACCGGGTAGAGTATGATTGGGTCAAGTGTGTTAGGATGCAGCCCACGCGGAAGAGTGTTTCTCAAAATGCAATGTTTAGTCCAAGACGCAGCAACTCCATAATCTTTCATTGACAATATATCAAGAGAATGATGGCTTCTATTATCAAATACACACAGACAGTTCCCCAACACTCCCAAACTGACTAAATCCATGTTATTTTGAATATCTAGAGGCAGTGGGATTGGGCGGAATTGTTCATCCGTAATATCAAACCAATATATACATTTAGAATATGTATGATCAGTGAAAATCCAATGAAGAGCCCCATTCAGAATAACCCCACACCGTTTTCCCCGAATGGGGATTGGACCATCTCCCCCGTCTCTCCGTGTACCAGTCCCACCAGTTCCAAGAGTACAAACCTCAGTCTCTGATTTTTGACCCCATATAAGTACAATTGGTTGGTGACAGAACTAAATCCAAACCCATAAGCCACAAGATTAGTAATTTCTTGTGGTTTGGGTTTCGGAAGGGCAACATATTCTCCCAGAATTGGGTTACTAATGTAGAAACTGTCCATAGGGTATCCATTACAGAAACACAGCAAACCATTACAGCAACCCACTAATTCTATCTCGGGGTAAGATATTTTTGTAATTGGGAAACACATATGCTGATCAATGTAGTTACTTTGACGTTCAAGTTCAGTTAAGTAGAAACCACGGCCCTTAGAAAGCATGATAATACTGATGAAGGGCAATTTTGCAAGGCGAACAGTATTGAAATAAGGGTCTTAAGAGTAGGTTGAACCAGGTTTTGCAAACGCACCTGCAGTTTAAGAGGTTTCGGGTTGGAAGCCTGGAAAGAATGTCCACAACGATGGAGGAAGGAAGATCTATCATGGAAAAATCCGAGAGTGAGAGTGTTTCTTGCCACATTTTGTTATTTTCTGGTACTGATTTGCTTGAAAGGGTTGTTGCTAAACTTTTTCTTCTTTTGCATCTTTTATACTTTCCCATGACTTGATTTTTTCCTTTTGAATGTTTAATTGATCCGCACATTTTTTTTTTTAACTTGGTGCCGCTCTATATGTAGGCGTTGCGTTCTGGCGTTCACGCTCGGACTTCTATTTTGTGTGATTTAGGCTTTTCCTAATTCTACTTATAAAAGAGAGTAAATTAGACTTGCTTTAGGACTCCCACTCCATGTGACTTGGGATTTTTCAAATCCCACTTATATAAGGAGTAAATTTCAAATACCAACCCTAGGATCTCTCATAAATTTCTGGTACCCATGAGTTTTAATTTTATTACTATAATTTCTGCAAATTTGCATTTATTCACAGATTCTTCCACGGAGAAAGAAAGGAATTTTTTATTTTTATTTTTTTATCGATATGATAGTACATACTAAAAATTCATTATATTTAATTATTATATGTAAATATATTAAGTAGGAAAATCTTTATATTAAAAATTTATTATCTTTAATTATTATATATGTTTTACATATTTGTAATATTTTATATAGGAAAAATTACGATCGATGAATTTGTCTCTTTATTCACTTTTTTGTTTTTGAGTACTAGTGTTAAGAAAATCAATAAAATGTATTAATCCGTTTAATGACCTATTTATCAAAATCATACATTTAATATTCAATTAAATAATAAATGCTAGAAAAAAATTGTCAAAATTAACCCAAAATTTTAAAATAAGAAAGAAAAATCATAAGAATTAGTCAAAGTTTATGTTAAAATGACTTAACTGTCTATTGTAATTGGGTTTAGACATGTAACATATTATATAGGTCATATTTACGATTATGACATGTTGAGTTAAACGTGTATAAACGGATTGAACTTCTCAATCCTAACTCAACACGGTTAATCGTGTCAACCCGTTTAAGACCCAAACTTATTTAAGATCAACCCATATCCGATTATCTCGTGTCGTGTTGACAGGTCGTATCGTAATTTGCCACCTTACTCAGGTAGTTAGGGAAAGCTCTTTGTGAAATGCAAGAGAGCACATTTCGGTAGCATTCGGTAGCATCAAACCAGTTTGGAAGGGAGAACAAAAACTGTCCTCGCCCATGTCAGGCCTGTGTCTCAACTATGAAAAAAGTAAAATATTTAAATTTCAAAATACTTTTAACCATGTCCAACATTGCACCAGTTACAGATGCAGCAAAACTGACATCGAAAGGCAAGAAACACTATGACATTAATAAGAAATAGACACTGGAAGTTGCGAAACCAGCTGGATGTGCTTATTGGTAGGAGTAGTTAATTCATTTAGAGAAGAAATCCTTATTCTCACAGCATTGGAAATTTTGGAGATAACATGCAATCCAAATATAATAGATAGAAGAGGAGAAAATATATTGTTCATTTCAATCCAAATATAATAGATAGAAGAGGAGAAAAGTAGTTTCAATATACTAGCTCTGAGAGTTCTCCTTTTAAAGGATGTAGAAGCCCAATTGAATATAAAGCTCCGAGAATGAAGATTAAAATAATGAAAGATGACATAGAGGATATGATGCCTAAAATGTTAAGAAATTAAATCTATCATATTGATATCATATAAAAAGAATATATTTTTAACCATGGTGGTGTTATCGGGAAAATTTTGTGTGCGTGCCCAAGGAGGATTCTAACTCCCATTCTCTAGGATGTGAGGTGAAATTCTAGTCATTAGGCTTGGGGTTTAATAGAGGTCAGTTTAAGATGCAATGGATAAAAGAATCTACTGGCCACACAAAAAGGATAACACAGACACAACAATATAAATGAATTTGAAATGTAGTGAGTATCCAATATCAACAATATTAAGTATTTTAGTGATACTTTCTCACATTTCAAAATAGAAGACCGAGGGTTCAAGTTCCCAAAAGACAAAGTGGATGTGTGAATTTTTTGCCAAGAAAACAAAACTATATATATGCATGTATTTGCATTTGTAAGAAGTTTTTGCCCAAGATCGAGGAAGTGTACGTCAAACAGATGACGTAAATATAAGGTAAATTACGCAGGACAACAACGACGTACTTAAGAATAAATAGTGAAGGTATGCCACAAGATACTTCTCCAAGAACAAATTTTCTATGACAAAAATCCCGACAAAGTAAAATCAAAGAACAATCTAAGCTGATAAAACACAAGAACATTTTACACAATTACTTGACAAAACAATGCAATCAGTAAAGCCTAGTTCAAAAGCATATGGATCGAAAACCGGCCAAACGACCATTCAGTAAATAGAAAAAAAAAACTATTTACTTGCAAATAAATGATAACTAATAAAACTAAGAACATACTGGTGAAACTTTAAATATTATGAAATTTTTTTGAATTAACATTCAAAACCCTCGAACATTCTGTCATCGGAACATTTTTGAGTGAAAGAAAGCTCAGGGTATAAGTAACTGGTGTGAACCTCGATGCATCAACCTTGAGCTGAGTAAACCTCCTTTCTTTCGGATTATAAGAAACAATAGCTCCATCACATGACACCAACATCTCTCCATCTTTCCAAAATGTGATTGGGTAAAGTGCGATCGGGTAAAGTTTGTCACGACGCAGCCTACGCGAAAGTGTGTTCCTCATCTTTCTTTGATATAACCCATACGAATCCCTTTACATTTCCAAACAACCACAACCTCCCTGGACCACCCCCTCCACCCTTGCAAGTCGCAACCACCCCTGCAGCCGCCCCCACATAACCCCAGTGCTATGATGCTTCGAAGTGGTTGATTTTTCATGCCCATGTCTTTGGTTAGGTTACTTGAGGGGAGATATTTACTATTGGGTTCAATCTTTGTTTTGTATGGATTTATTTTCATATCTGTTGGGCCACTTTGTGGACTTCACTTCTCTGTTTTTAGCCCAACCTCATTGGGCCGGGGCCATACCCCTCGTTATCCATGTAATTATTTTCTTTTTTATGCAAATCCTTAATTATTTAAGAAAAATACAGAAGACAAATTAACGGAAAAGATGCATATATATATAGAGAAATATATATATATATATACACATATATATTATATATTTGCTAATTTTGTTTTGATTGTCTTGATTTCCTTGGCACATATTTGTGTATATATAAGGAGAGAGAGGTGGAAAAGGGAGGAAAAAAAATAAAAAATAAATAAAAAGGGGGAAGAACATGGAATCGTATTAGCAAGGAAAAAAATAAAAAATAAAAAACAGAATTTAAAGTTGGGGAATAAGATTTAGTTTGTAGTGCAAGAATTAAAGTTATTCAATTTGACTGAATATTATGCAAGTATGGTTCGAAATTTTTAATTTGAAAAAGTTTTGAGAATCGAGTAATATACTAACCTTAATAACCCATAATTATATGATTTGTTCTTTTTTATAATTTTGTTTGAGTAGTATGTTCTGTATACATATTTTATTTTTTGTTGAATTGTTTTAAAGTGAGTTTATTTTGCATTTTAATTTCAGTTAAAAGGTAAAGTTAAATTGTATAATAATATATTATATAAAGTATAACGTATAGAATGGTAATCGTACACATGGTAAAACAAAAGTAAATATTTTTTTTTTCTTTATTTGCAGATTTGGAGCTGACTCGGTGATGAAAAAGCTATGTTGGGAATGTGACGTTAATCACCACCGTTGTATGTTCACGGGCCGTCATATGTTCACGGGCCGTCATCGAGTGAGAAAATAACTAAAGAAGATTTTTTTCCAAGTTAGAAGAGGGATTGTAAGTTGAAGTGAATGGGGGAGCAATAAAAGAATTTTGAAAAAAATAACAGTCACCAAATAGACTCTGGAAGTTGCGAAACTGGCTGGATGTGCTTATTGGTAATGGTAGTAGGAAATTCATTCGGAGAAGAAATCCTTAATCTCACAGCATTGGAAATTTTGGAGATAAAAGAGTATTGCAATCATGAGTAAAAAAAATAAAAGAACAAGGGTTCAAGTCCCCAAATTAATTAACAATATTAAGTATATATATATATGCAAAACCAATGATTGTAGTTTAGCTTTCAAAATAGAAGAATAATCCCATTTTGCATGTCAGACCGTTGAACTTCGAAGCTACATGACTGAACCCTTGTATGGTACAAATACTTAATAGTCCGAGTCTGACATGCAACATCGGACTAGTAGGTAACCTGCAACCATTTTTCTTGTTTTGGGACAAAAGAATTTCCATTGAAGAATTTTGATCAATGAAAAAAAAAAACACACACGCACACACAACAATTCATTTCATTGGTACGACTCCACTTTACACAAAATATGCTCTTTCCTTCCCAAACTGCTCTCTAAGTTCTGTTTCATGCTTAAAGCCAGTTGATCTGCCAATACACTCTTCTTTAACACTGCACCTAAATTATGAGACTCCAGTACATATAATGAGAGGACAAAAGCACATCAAAAGCGTATAGATTGAAAAGCAAACGACAGTTCACTATAAACTAATAGATGTAAAGCATTAACATATGATTAAAGATTAATGTAATACTAAAAAGACGTTTCTCAATCGATATTCAGCGACATCCTTAGTTTCAAATAAACAAAAAGTTGATGCCTGTGGGGGGAGTGAAATTGACTGTCCTTGGATGCCGTAGTAGATTCCAATGGACGCGCTCCCCTTTTGAGCACTCTTGATAAACAAAAATTTGATATGGAAGACATAAATTTTAAACCACATTGAGAACCAAGAACCAAGAATAATGGTATAAATAGAAGGTTAAAAGAAATCCTCAAATGCCAAGCACAATTTAGTGATTTACTGAGCTAGAAAGAAGAATCTAGTCGATAATAGCAAAAGCACAATTTACTAAGCCACAAGTGCAAATAAATGATAACTAATAAAACGTTCATGGTAGTATCAGAACATACGGGTGAAACTATGAATCGACTTTCACAACCCTCAAACATTTTGCCATGGGAACATTCTTGAGTGAAAGAAAGCTCGGGATATAGGTAACTGGTTTGAACCTCGATGCATGAACCTCGAGTTGAGTAAACTTCCTTTCTTTCGGATTATAAGAAACCATTACTCCTTCACACGAGAACAAGATCTCTCCATCTTTCCAAAGTGTGATTGGGTAAAGTATGAATGGGAAAAGTGTGTTAGCATGCAGCCCGAGCGGAAGTGTGTTTCTCAAAATGCAATCTTTAGTCCAAGACGTAGCGACTCCATAATCTTTCATTGACCATATATCAAGAGAATGATGGCTCCTATTATTAAATACACATAGACAGTTCCCCAACACTCCCAAACTGATTAAAGCCAGTTTATTTTGAAAATCTGGAGGCAGTGGAATTGGGCGGAATTGTTCATCCTCAATATCAAACGAATATATAGAATAAGAAATTTCACGATCAGCTACAAAGCCTACAATCCAATGAAGAGCCCCATTCAGAAAAACCCCACACCGTTTTCCCACAAGCGGGATTGGACCATCTCCCACATTTCGCCATACACCGGTTCCAAGAGTACAAACCTGAGTCACTGATTCTCGAGCCCAATCCGCTTTAAGCACGAGTCTTACAACCTTATACTGGTTGGTGGGAGAACTAAATCCAAACCCAAACGCCACAAAATCAAGTGTCTGTGGTTTGGGTTTTGGAAGGGCAACATATTCTCCCAAAATTGGGTTGCTAATGTAAAAACTGTCATTAGGATATCCATTCGAGAAACAGAGCAAGCCATTACAACAACCTATTAATTCTAGCTCGGGGTAAGATGTTTTTGTATGTCGGAAACACATACGCTGATCAATGTAGTTAGTTTGATGTGCAAGTTCAATTAAGTCGAAAGACTCGAAACCACAGCCGACGCGAGAAAGCATGATGATACTGGTGTAGGGCATTTTTGCAAGCCGAAAGCTATTGAAATAAGGGTCTAAGAGTAGGTTGAACCAGGTTTTGCAAACGCACCAGCAGTTTAAGAGCGTTCGAGTTGGAAGCCTGGAAAGAATGTCCACAATGGTGGGGGAAGGAAGATCCATCATGGGAAAATCTGAGTGTGATACTGCTGCTTTCCCGTTGCTTGACATATTGCCACAATTCTTCTCAATTGATGCCGTTCTCTAGGACTTTGCTCTCTCAAGCTCAGGGTATCGGCTTCCGAGGACTTGTTTAAAATTCTGTATTCCCATTCTGTATTACTTGGGTTTTCCCTAATCCTATTTATATGAGGAGAGTAAATTAGACTCCCGTATTACTTAGGTTTTTTCCTAATCATATTTATATAAGAAGAGTACATTAGACTCTTTGGGATTGTTTCTCTATTATTTTAAAATATTTTTATTTGTGTTTAGACGTGTTTGGTAACAACTAAAATCCCTTTTAACAATTATCAAAATTAGATTAGTAAAACTTTTGAATAAAGTTATAATTTCAAATTTTCAAAACTGCTTGTAGGGTAATACTTTCACTTTAGAAATTTTATCTCTTTTATTTTTTATAAAGGCAATTACATTTATTACTTTATAAAATTTCTATTATCAAATATGGTAGGGTATTATTATAAAATTAACAATAAAAGTGTTTTTAAAAAATATTATTACTAAATAAATTTAAAAGTAATTTAATTGTGAAAAGTAGATCTTATCAGATGCCTTCAACCGCAAGTTTTTGACAGCTGATGAAAACGGAATTTTATTTTATTTTATTTATTTATTTTTTAAGTAATCACAAATGGGCTCTCTGGGGTCTCTCATAAATTTCTGGTACCCATGATTTTTAATTTTGTCAATATAATTTATGCAATTTTTTCATTTATTCATTATAACTTTCTTGATTTTTTCCTTTTGAATATTTAATTGATATTCTTGGTGCCCTCTCTATGCAGGTACTCTTACTCTTGCTTTCACGCTCAGCGTATAAGAACCAAAAGGCCTACTAGACCAACATAGCACATGAAAAAAGAAACAATTTTTTATTTTTTACAAACACAACCTAAGAGAAAGCTTAGAAGAACAACTAATGAAACCTAGAACAAAACACAGCAAACTAGAAGAAAACTAAACAAATGTCAAAACAACAATTAATAAACCAGTGGTCCAGCGATACTAGACTCTTACTTTTTAAAGGGATTAGGGGTCAAACATTAGTGGAGACTATTGGATTGGGCCGTGCCATCTCATCTAAAAACCAATTGGTATCCAGTGAGGGAAAGACATGCCTTTTATGACATTCGATCTATGCAAGGAGCAGCATTGTGTGCTACCTTGCCAACAATCCCTCCCTCACGCGATGACGTTCTTGAGAATCGAACCCAAGATCTCCAACTCTATACCACTTGTTGGATCGGCCATGCCATCTCCTATTACCTCAAAAAAATATCAATACTTTTTTACATTAATGTTTAGTTGTTGCTAAGTTTTGCTTATGGAAATTGTGTAATCAGTATCTTGAAAATTAATGGCACCAAACTACTAGCAGTCAGTGGTCTAACAGTATTAGTTTTTTACCTCTCAAAGGGTGGTTAGTGATTCAAATCTGAGAAGGGACGTGTGTGTGAGTACCAATTAGGAAAAAAAAAATTAATGGCACCAAACTCGTACTAGTATCTTCACAATTTTTAATCTAAACTTTTTTTATAGCATAAATGCTAACAGTAACTCCTAAATTGAGTAACAACTAACAACAATATACATTTTTATTCGTACAGATACAAAAACAAAAGGCTCAGAGAAATGAAACAGCAACAAATGCAAGCCAATGTGAAAAGAGATCTATGGCTTCATAGAAAGTATGGATACGGACACGGAAATCCGCAATACAGGTACCACAATGATACGGGAAATTTTTTTTTTAAAAAAATAAGACACAAATACAATTTGAATACATCAAAATTCAATATATATATATATATATATATATATATATATATATTAATATTATTATTATTTTTACATCTTATTAATACAATCACCAATGAATCACTAATTTGGAGCTATGTTTGTTTTTTTTGCTTCTTAAAAAAAATTAATTAAAAAACCACTTCCCCCGTGTTGTGAAAAGTCAAAATGCTGGCATATGCTTATTTTTTGTTAGATTAGTAAAAGCTAATACTGTTTAGGTCAAGATAACCTCAAGTAATTAAGGGAAAGCTCTTTGTGTAATGCAAGAGAGCACATTTCGGTAGCATCAAACCAGTTTGGAAAAGGAAGAAAGATCAAAAACTGTCCTCGCCCCCTCGCCCGTGTCCAGGCCGGTGTGTCTCAGCAGTGAAAAAAAGGTAAAATATTTAAATTTCACGATACTTCTAACCGTGTCCAACATTGCTCAAGTTACAGATGCAGCAAAACTGCCATCGAAAGGCAAGAAACACTGCAACATTAATAAGAAATAGACACTGGAAGTTGCGAAACCAGCTGGATGTGCTTATTGGTAGTAGTAGTTAATTCATTTACAGATGAAATCCTTATTCTCGCAGCATTGGAAATTTTGGAGATAAGAGTATTGAAATCCTTGCAATCGTGGGTAAAAAATATATTGTTCATTTCAATCCAAATATAATAGGTAGAAGAGGAGAAAACTAGTTTCAATATACTCTGAGAGTTCTCCCTTTAAAGGATGTAGAAGCCCAATTGAATATACAGGTCCGAGAATGAAGATTAAAATAATGAAAGATGACATAGAGGATATAATGCCTAAAATGTTAAGAAATTAAGTCTATCATATTGATACCATATAAAAATAATATATTTTTAACCATGGTGGGGTCAAGCCTCTTAGAACACTCTATAATTCATCATTGGATAGATGTAGTCCCGCATGGATAAAAGAATCTACTCGCCACACAAAAAGGATAACACAAACACAACAATATAAATGAATTTGAAATGTAGTGAGTATCCAATATCAACAACATTAAGTATTTTAGTGATACTTTTTCACATTTCAAAATAAAAGATCGAGGGTTCAAGTCCCCAAAAGACAAAGTAGGTGTGTGAATTTTTTGCCAAGAAAACAAAACTATATATATGCATGTATTTGCATTTGTAGGAAGTTTTTGCTCAAGAGGAAGTGTCAAACAGATGATGTAAATGTAACTTGAGAATAAATAGTGAAGATATGCCACAAGATACTTCTCCAAGAAAAAATTTTCTATGACAAAAATCCTGACAAAGTAAAATCAAAGAACAATCTAGCTGATAATACACAAGTACATTTTACACAATTACATGACAATACAATGCAATCAGTAAAGCCTAGTTCAAAAAGCATATAGATCGAAAACCAAACGACCATTCAGTAAATAGGGAAAAAAAAAAAAAAAAACTATTTACTCAGCTAAAGGGCAAATAAATGATAACTAATAAAACTAAGAACATACTGGTGAAATTTTATGTATTACAAAAATATTTTGAATTGATATTCAAAACCCTAAGCATTCTGCCATCGGAACATTCTTGAGTGGAAGAAAGCTCGGGATATAAGTAACTGGTGTGAACCTCGATGCATCAACCTTGAGTTGAGCAAACCTCCTTTCTTTCGGATTATAAGAAACCATAGCTCCATCACATGACACCAATATCTCTCCATCTTTCCAAAATGTGATTGGGTAAAGTGCGATCGGGTAAAGTTTGTCACGACGCAGCCTACGCGGAAGTGTGTTCCTCAAAATGCAATCTTTAGTCTAAGAAGTAGCAACTCCATAATCTTTCATTGACCATATATCAAGACAACGAAGCTCCCTATTATCAAACACACACAGACAGTTCCCCAACACTCCCAAATTGACTAAATCCATGTTATTTTGAATATCTAGAGGCAGTGGAATTGGGCGGAATTGTTCATCCTCAATATCAAACGAATATAAAGAATAAGAAATTTTACGATCAACTATAAAGCCAACAATCCAATGAAGAGCCCCATTCTGAATAACACCACACAGTTTTTCGGGATCGGGGAATAAACCTTCACCCACATTTCTCCATGTACCAGTTCCAAGAGTACAAACCTCAGTCAGTGATTCTCCAGCCCCCCGAACCCAACCCGTTTTAAGCACAATTCTTACAACCTTATACTGGTTGGTGGCAGAACTAAATCCAAACCCAAACGCCACAAAATCATCTCCGGTCTGTGTTTTGGGTTTTGGAAGGGCAACATATTCTCCCAAAATTGGATTACTGATGTAAAAACTATCATTAGGGTGTCCATTCGAGAAACAGAGCAAACCATTGCAACAACCCACCAGTTCTAGCTCGGGGTAAGATGACCAACGTAGTTAGTTTGATGTGCGAGTTCAATTAAGTCGAAACCACAGTTCCAAGAAAGCATGATGATATTGATGTAGGGCATTTTTGCAAGCTGAACGCTATTGAAATATGGGTCTAAGAGTAGGTTAAACCAGGTTTTGCAAACGCACCTGCAGTTTAAGAAGGTTCGAGTTAGAAGCCTGGAAGGAATGTCCACAACGATAGGGGAAGGAATATCCATCATGGAAAAATCCGAGTGTGTGTTGACACCCTTTTTGGTAAATTTTGTATTAATGACATGGGTTAAAGAAGCTACATTTAGAGGCAAAGGAGATTGAAACATTTCAATTATTTAATGTATAGGGATTATAATTTTAGTATTTATCTTTTAGTTGATGTAAGTTAAATATTTATATTTATCTTTAGGATTAGTTTATTTTAAACTTATAGTTAGTTGGGTTGATAGGATTAGATTTTATTTGAAATTACTAATTAGTTATTTGATAGAGTTTGATGTATTTAGAATGCTTATGCATAAGAATTTGTTTTTATGAATTATTCTATAAATAATCAAAGAGGCCTGCTGAGATAGGGGTCCAGCACCCTCAGAATCATTTTAATATTGTTATAGCTTTTTCAAGCACTTTCCCCAAATAGCATCCTTGCTATCTCTATCTCTCTCCCTCTCTATTTCAGTCTCGTTCTATTTCTCTCCTTATATCTCTATCTCTTCTCCCTATTACTTTCTATATCTATATTTTCTCCCCTTTCTATTATCATATTATTACTATATATTATTCATTGATAGTATCATTTTAATTAAGGCAATTAGAATTCAAAGAGGAATTATATTTGTTCTCTTTCTCCACGAATCGCTTGATAGTCAATATTCTCAAAGAGACTGCAGTTGACAACTCACACTCGAACCATACAATTGGTTATGGCATGCCCGTATCACATCAATTCCAGATCGGATCTAAGGAGCCGATTTTAGCGTCAACAGTGTGATACTATTGCTTTGCTCGAAAGGGTTGTTGTTAATCTTTTTTCTTTTTCGGCAATCTTTATTCTTTCTCATGGATTGACATATATTGGCACAATTCTTCTCAATTGTTGCCGCTCTCTAGTACTTTGCTCTCTCATGCTCAGAGTATCGGCTTCAGCCTATTACTTAGGTTTTCCCTAATCCTATTTATATGAGGAGAGTAAATTAGAGTCCGTATTACTTAGGTTTTTTCCTAATCCTATTTATATAAGAAGAGTAAATTAGACTAGGGATGCAACGGGGGCGAGTTTGGGCGGGTGTACCCTCTCCCGCCCCCACAACCGTTTAAAAATTCCGTAAAAATGGGGGGGACTTTCCATCCCATCGCCACCCAAAACCGTAAAAATGGGGGGACTTTCCATCCCATCCCCGTAACGGTTTAACATTTTTACCCCCGCGGGTACCTGCCCCGCCCCGTTTAAGACTATAATTTATTTATTGTTAAAATAGATTTGCTATTTTTTCCCCCTCATCTTTAGTTCTTCACTATTGCAACTTTCCTTCTAATCAAATTCATTTGTTAATTTAATATTATTATATAAGGTACTTAATATATATACTGTGAAATATACATACTAATGAAATAAGGGTATTTAAGTAATTTGTCTATCTAAAAGGGACGGGGTGGTGCGGGGCGTCCTCACTTTGCCCCTGCACCAAACCCGCGCAGGTTTTTATTACATCAAACCATCCCCACCCAAATAAGCTAAATGGTCTCCCATAACCGTCAAAAACGGAGCGGGGTGGGGCGGGTCAAATTGTCATCCCTAAATTAGACTTTTTGGGATTGTTCCCTATTATTTTTAAATATTTTTATTTGTGTCGAGATGTATTTAGTAACCATTAAAAAGGGATAATTCCATACAAATAGAGTTTTGTGCGTTAAAGGACAAAAGAATGAAGTCAAAATTAAGTTTTCCAAATTAATTCTCAAAGTCTAAGGTGGACATGAAAATTTACTGTATATCATTTTTTTTTCTCCCCAAAATACCCTTCTATTGTTATTATGAAACACTTTCTTCCTCTGGCTTTTGACGCCTGTGCTTGAATACCTTGAGCTTTTTTCTTTTCTTTGGGTGAAAGGCCCTCTCTCTGGTGTAGCGGAATACTTTTAATGGGTTCTCGCACAGCATGGAGGTGATCGACCAAAGGCCCGCAAAACTAGAAGTCTCAATTGTTCCCGAAGCTGCTCCAGACCTACCCCAGAGCAAACCCATTTTTTTTTTTTTTTTATTTTTATTTTTTATAAAAAAAGCAAAACCCATTTCATCATCAATCTCTCTCACACTCGTAAATCTCTCTCACACTCCTGAACTAGCCCCTTCTGAATGTATTCATCTGCAATGGAAAAAACAATTCTTTCTTTTTGATTGGCCATCTCTCTTTCACCCACCTAACCAGCAAACTCATTTAAAAAAAACAAAAGAAGAGCAAATTAATCCATTTAATCATTAGAAAAGTGCAAATGACCAGGAGTTTTGGATGAATTTATTAGGTTTGTTGATTGTTCGTTTAGGAGGGTTGTCATAGATGGGTTTTTCTATTTAGATATGAGGGGTAGTAACATAATTTTATAACAACAATAGAAAAGTATTTTGGAAATAAAAAAATGATGTATAGTGAATTTTCATAACCAGATTTTGAGAAAATTCCATTAATTTGGAAATTTTTATTTTAACTCTATTCTTTTGTCCTTTTGTCCCCAAAGTTCCATTTTTATGGAATTATCCCCATTAAAAATCCTTTTAACAATTACCAAAATTAGCTTAGTAAATTTTTTGAATAAAGTTAGAATTTAAAATTTTCAAAATTGTTTGTACTTTATAAATATTTTAGGTAATACTCTCTCTTTAGAAATTTTATCTCTTTTATTTTTTATAAAGGAAATTACATTTATTACTTTATAAAGTTTCTATTATCAAATATGGTAACATCTCATTCAAGGGTATTATTATAAAATTAACAATAGAAGTGTTTTTAAAAATTATTATTACTAAATAAATTTAAAAGTAATTTAATTGTGAAAAGTACATCTTATCAAACACCTCCAATTGCAATTTTTTGACAGCTGATGAATGCGGTTTATTTATTTATTTTATTCCAATAGTAATCCCGAATGGGCTATCTTAGGGTTCTTTCATAAATTTCCCATGATTTTTAATTTTATCACTATAATTTCTGCAATTTTTGCATTTATTCACTATAAACTTTTTCTTTTTATGCATCTTTTATACTTTCTAATGGCTTGATTTTTTTTCTTTTGGAAGATATAATTAATATTCTTGGTGCGCTCGCTCTTACTCTCACGTTTAGCATATAAATTCCCACTGGCTCGGCTCTTACTTGTATTCGTCTTTTGTGTTACTTAGGTTTATCCCTGATCCTACTTATAAATTAGTTAATCGTGACGGAGTTTGCAAGTTTTTAACCCATTATTTTTAATTTTATAACTATAATTTATGCAATTTTTCATTTATTCACAGATTCTTCCATGGAGAAATAAAGGAATTTTTTACAGTTTATACTAACAATTTATTATATTTAATTATTATATGTAAATACATCATGTGGGAAAAACTTTATATTGACATTTTATTATCTTTAATCATTATATATGTGTTTATATAGGAAATATTATGATCTACTCGCCTCAATTGTTTGTATGCTTCTTTCAAATTAGCTTATATTTTTTTCTTAGTCGGTAAATACATGTTTTTATTAAAGCTTGAATCTTTGACCTTTATTTGAAACATAAGACTATTAATTTTTTTGTGAGTAAAATATTCACATTAGTTTTAGAAAGGCAATACCAATATAATTAAAATATAATTTAATTAATTTAGATTATATATATATAAAATCTCTTATAGATGCTATTATAATATGATTAGGACATTGGACGGAACGTCAATTCAAAACCATGTATGTTATTTTATATTGTAGGAAAAATTTAAAAAATAATTAGTCATTGTAAAAGTATATATAGTATTATTATTTGTACTCGTAGTTTCTATTTTATTTTATTTTAAAAAAAATTTGCAGACCAAATTCAAATGTTGTCCGTTACAGAAATGTCCCCAAAATTTCCCTCCCCTCTTTTCAGACCAAACTAGGGTTTTGAGCTCACTCTTAACCAACAAGTCAAAACTTGCTGTTCTCAAATTCCAACCCAAGCCTTTCCAATTCGAGCATTGATCGATACAATTTCATCTATTTTAAACCCTACTTCATCGCATTCAACATGAACCCTCCAACCACAGAATCAATCAACTGCCCCAAACCACCAGAGCGCTACGAACCCATGTTGAAAGAATCAATCGATCACTTCTTGGCCGAATACCGACAAGGATGTTCCGATTTCTCATCCTTTGGTTCGATTTTCTTCCGATTGATCCAATCCATGACCGATCCACCCCTCGAAATCATATGGTTCTACTCAGCAGCGACATTTCACAGCTCTAAATCAGTGTTTCATGATGCTTCGAAGAAAGTTTCGACAGCTAAAGATTTGTTTCAGTTGCTAGTTTCGTGTTCGTGTCCATGTAATGGCTTGAAAAGAGTCGCCGTGCTCGCTCCGGTTGTGTACGAGTTGTATAACTTGGTGTCTGACTTTTCAGAGACTGATTTGTGCTTGAAGAGCGAGATTGAGGGTTTAATTGAAGGAATTGTTAGTTACATTAGCATATGTTGCTCTGATTACTCGAAGGAAAACAGAAATGGGTCGGACGATTTGATGGCGTGTTTTGTAGACTTGACTAGGGTTTGGACAGTTGGTCGAATTGGGGAGAGTTGTACATTTGGGGATGATTTGAGGCTGTTCTTGCCGTTGGTTAACGACGAGGTTTCGAGAAAGGTTAAGATGGGGTGTGGGCTCAGTTACTTAGCTGGGATTGTTATGAGTGAGGCTTTTCTGCTGAGGCTGTGTTTGAAGTTTGGTTTGGGGGTTTCCAGAGAGGAATTACAGAAGGATATTCAAAATTGTGTACTTCAAACTGTATCGGGCTTTCGTAGTTGTTACTTTTCTGGTGAGAAGCTTTCTTGCTTACTTGAATAATTTTTATCTCCTTGGGTCAAGATTTTAGTGTGGGAAATTGTTTCTGCTTAGCAACTGTAGATTACATAATTACTTGTCATTTTTAGAATTAAATGAGGTCGTAATTATATTATGGAGAAAGTAACATAATGTGAGCAATTGTTCTGCGAGTATGATTTAGCTTTTTGCACAAGTAGACAAGTAGATAGGTATAGTTTTATGGTGGGAGTTAAAACAATGCAAGTGGTTGAACTGGAAATTGGGTTATGTGTATAGAAGTTTCCTTTAGATAACTACTAGAGAAGTTGTGATATGTTGCACTTAATTCATTATCTTTGCTTGCATATAATTTCTATATATATATATATATATATATATATAGATAGATAGATATATAGATAGATAGATAGATAGATAGATAGATAGAGATCTTTAAACCCTTTTATATGCTCCCACCCCTCCCAATTTATTTCCTATAGTCTAAAGTCCAGTTCATTGCTTCCTTGGACATCTAATTATGTTTCCATTTGTTTTTATTTTTTAATTCAGTTGTGGTAGCAGTTTGATTTTGACACCCCATCCCAAAAAAAGAAGCTGATTATGCAAGGAAACAGTGTAGTAAGCATTGCAATGCATATCCGTTAACTATGTCATCACAATAAAGTTGGGCCACTTAATCTCTTGCAGCAGCTGGGAGTTGAACCACTTCACAAGTTGGTTCCATGGTCATTATTGTATTTTACGTTCCTATACTCACTAGAATAAATATCGTCTGTTATTACTTCTAGAATCTGTTGTTATAAAAGTTTTTAATGTTGAGTTGGGGAGTCTAAAAAATTTCAGTCTATAGAATTTTATATGTTTAGGCAATGAAAGGTGTTCCTCCCATTTTTATTTGTTCTCCTTACCTAAGGCAAGTTAAGTTTTTTTAGCTGGTCTATATTTAGAGGTCCCATGTGTTCTTGTTGATATTTCGATTTTGATGTGCATCCTTCCTGATTTGTTGGTGTTGCCTATCAGATGAACTTCTCAGAATGCTGTTGGAGCCAAGTTTGCCTGTCGCCACCCTATTGGTCAGTATGTCAGTTTCATTAATTTGTTGTTTGTTAGTAAACTTCCCTGGCTTCTTGAGATCATCCAAATCTCACAAAGTTCACTTTGAGGTGATTTTCATGTGAACTAAATAAATCCATTTCCCCTCTAACATCCCTAAATATATATTAGTTGGTCAGTGGGCAATAATCTTCATGAACAGTTTAAATAATAATAAAAAAAATCAACCGTTTCTTTTTTGGTCTTCATAGTTGTTTTGCTGTAAACACCTGCTTATGGATAATGTTTTGGCTATTACTCTTGCAATTGGAAGATGTGCCGGAAAAATGCTAGACTTTACTTATATGCCCTTTAAAAAAATTGTGTTCTTGATGCAGAGTTATGATGATGAAGTTCTTATAAGGAAAGTGCTCTATGATGCTGTGATATTGGTAGAGTATTCATTTCTACATTCTTGGAGATGGACTCAGCTATGTGGTAACCAATTGGAAAACCTGGCTTTGACATGGGCTTTAGTTGCAGATAGTGCCATACAGTTTGTTAGGTATGAAAAGTATGGTTGCTAGGATGCAAAAAAATAGCGTTTTAGGAAGTTCTATTTAATGAATCCTAAAATTCGTTGGCAACAGGGAAAATGGTGACCAAGCCAGAGCCATTTCTTATATAAATGCCTTCTCTAAATGTCACCTACACAATCAGCTAATTAAGTGGGTAAATCAGACAGGCATGGAGGAGAAAATAAGTATACCTAACATTTCTACTCCAAAGGCTCTTATCGGTAAGTCTCTTATTATCTCTTATCCTTTTGTTACTAGCTTTGGTTTTCTGGGTTTCAGCTTCTTCCATAGCTATTTGTGTGGTTACAAATAACATGCCATCTTTTGGTATGTAGTTGCTGCCATACTATTAAAGCAAGTGCTTACCCTGCATTTCTTTTTTTTGGGAAACTTAGCTCTTACTGAAAAAGAAAGAAGACCATTAATAAAACACCCAAGCATTTTTTAAGAGAATGATTTTAGTGCCTTTTGTACTGTGATATAGCGCACTTTAACCAGACGAAGCTAGAGGGATGCTAATGACAGAAAAGCTGTCCAGTATATACTGTATATTGTATATTTACCTTTTTTATGCTGGTCATGGTATTCTTTCTTTTGTGTCTTTTAAATCTTTAACAGTATGCTGGTTTAATTTACAGAGTGGTTTTTGGTCCTCGAAGATCAAGGGGTTAGAGTATTTGATCATAGCATCTCAAAACACCTTTCTAAAGTTGTAATTTGCAAGTCGAGAGTGGACTATGAGCTATCGGAACATAAGCTAGATTGTAGAAACCAAAATGAGAATGAAGGGAGAGGGGGAGATATAGTTTGTGAGGATCAAGAGATGGTTGACTCAGTGGGTGATGTGATTTTTGCTGCTTCCTGGACTGTGAACTTATCAGCAACGAATGGGATAAGAAAACGCAATGAGGGGACGGGGGATGAAGAGGAAAGATGTGTAAAGCTTGTCAAGTATAACCCCCATGAAAATTCTGTTGGAGAGAGAGTTTTGCCTTTTTCTGAGGATGATGATTTGAGTAGTGGAAGTGAAGTGGAAAATCCAATCTCTGATGAAGATATGGAAGAAATGGGAATATAAGAACTAGGCGATGCAGCAATATGTGGAGAGGAAACAATATGTTGCGGTTGTACGCACCCTGGTAATATGTGGGAGCGATGTTGACAACTCAGTACATGTTTTGAGCCGTGGAAAATCCAGTCTCTGATGAAGATATGGAAGAAATGCGGCTGTTAGAACTAGTTAACGTGGCAATATGTGTAGAGGAAACAATATTTTGCGGTTGTATACACCCTTTTGTATTAGTAGATAGTTTGAGAAGCGATGTTCTGTGATTGCTGCCTAGTTCCAAGACTTAGTTCTTGTCTATGTTTTTCCTCTGTTGGGGATATTACTACAAGGGCATGTTTGGTGTGGTGGAATGAATTGGAATGGAATGAGAATGGAGGTAGGAATGGAATGAAAATGGAATGGAATGATTCTCATTCTACCGTTTGATTGTAAACATGGAATGTGTAAAAATGGAATCTCATTTTCATTCTTATGTTTGGTAAGAAAGTTGGAATAGAAAGAATTTATATTGTTTCTTTAAATTACATTTTATTATTAGTAAAAAAAAATTAACTAAAAAAATTAATTTGCAAAAATAAAAGGGAAAGAGATAATAGAGAGAAAAATAAACGAGATAGAGAGAGGGTGGAACAAACAACATATAGATACATATTATATGTATAGATATACTATATTTTATATAGTGTGTATATGCGTGAATTATCTCTTTAAATTATTTTATTACTTCATTAATTCTTAGTGGGAATAGAATGGTCATTCTACCTCTCAGAAAGTGAAATGGGCATTCCACCTTTTTGATGTAATGGGCATTTCTTAAGAATGACCATTCTACTTTTAATGCGACACACCAAACAAGAGAATGGAAACAAATGTATTCCATTCCACCTTCATTTGATTCCATTCACTCACACCAAACATAGCCCAAGGGATTACAAATTTTAGGCAGCCTTTTCATTCCAATAGTTGGGAAATGCATCACTTGTATGCTTACAGAGATGATATAAAAATGTTTAGAGTTAATCTGATCTCCTATCTTGTTTCCACTTTGTTATCTGCACAATTAGTTTTAAAGGTTTCTCCAAATTAATCAATGCTTCAAGTTCATGTCTATTTTAGCAAGTGACACAAAATTTTTTTGGTCTGCTCTCTTGGTTATGGCTAGAGAACAATAAATAACATTTTGCATGAGTTTTTACTCCTAATTTGTACATGAGCAGCTAGATTTAGGCATTGAGTTTTTGGTATCATATTCTTTAGCCTCTGTTTGGTTAAATGGAAATACCAAGAAAAGAAAGGAAATAGAAATTTCTTTGAACAATTTAGGAGTTTGTTTAGCAGGAAATGGAAAATTTTGAGGGAAAATTGTTTTCCATAACCACCTAACTTGTAAAATTTTCTTCCGAAAAACACAGGAAATTTTTGATTTCTTGAGAAAGTTTTATGGACTTACAATAATACCCTTTCTTTTATGATGAGTTTTAGGTTATTAAAATCATAAAATGATAATTTCTCATATTTTTTTTGAAAATTTTTCATGCTAAACAAATACATGATAGGAAATTTATTTATTTTTCATTTACTCCACTTCCTTTTATTTTCACTTTCCACTATCAATTTCCATCTAAGCATATAATTCTTTCAATATTTTCTTCAAAATTATATAGCATCCTTACCCTATATAGTAATGCCCTCACTGGGGAAGTCCTTGGACTGAAAATGGTGTGCCATGGGCCTAGTCTATGGAGAGTCTGAATTCAGTTAGGCCTGGGAAGAGGATGACCACATTATGTTTTGTGTCATTGCCCAATTTTTATCGACTATACTCCCCATTAGATCCAAGGCCTTGAACCTTCATAGCGAGACTACGGTCCGTCTGACAATTGTCTTTATTTTGCGTCTTTAATTCATACCAAGCAGAAACGATGTTTCTATTGTGTTGTGATTTATTCCAAATCATGTTTGGAAATTAAATTTGAGTGCCTCAAACGAAATGCCCTTTACATACTTACGATGCATTTCAAAAATCAAATTATTCAAACACTAATCAATATCACCCTTTTACATTATAGATTTATTCTAACTATTTATTAAAGAGAAAATGAGTTCATGGATTCAATATTTTTTAGTTATATTCGATTGATTTAATTTTTGACATACCTAACAAATAATAAAGTATATAATCCAATTGTTAGATTGCTATAAAAAAAATTTATTATTATGGCTTTGAATTTATTACTATAGTATTATTTAGCTTGTAAGCTTAATCATATCATATATTAAGAATGTGGCAGATAAGGGATTGAGTCTGTTTTTATGCCCGTTATTTGATTCAAAAGTTAAGTTGTATATGGTGGTGCTTACGGCTTACTAATTGTTATAAAACCCTAAGACTTTTTACTATCAGTGTTGAATGTGAGACAAGTCCTTTTCTCCAACCATATCTATAAAACTATATTTTTTTTTTGTCTAATAATTGAATTGTTTATAAGCCCAAAAAGTGTGATAATATAAAAATATAGCGGGAGTTATACTTCATTACCTTCCATTGGTTAAGCCCCATCATATTCAAATGATGAAATGTGAAAATTTTCTTATTGGGAGAGTTTACTTTAATTAAATTATTATAGCTTTTTTATTTTATAAATAGTTCTAGATGCGAGTAGTTGAATTTAAAATATTTTTGTGAGTGAGATATAGACCCATAAAGAATTTTAATGAACACTTTACTCCAGGTATGATATAAGTTACTTGGTCACGTTCAATATATGTTGTTAGCCCTTGTGACAGTGATGGTCCACCAAGTTCCTCAATTTTAAAGAAATACAATAAATGCACTTCATGTGAAATAAGTAGGTAAATGTATAGAATATACAATACAATTATAACATACTCTCTGTTTTTGTAATTCTTTAATTCATATCATTGTTTAGAGTAATAGTAAATTTTGATTTTGACATGCATTTACAACAATATGACTTTGAAGTTAAAAACAATGTTAAAAGTTTATTACATTCTCAATAAAAAAACAATTACACTCATGTTTTACGGTTGTCGAGACAAATTACACGCACTATAAAGATGTATTTTGAAAATTGTAAACGTTTGTATAGTTTAAAGTGGATGATATTATCACATTATAGGCAGTGACGGATCCATAAAATTTTGTGAGGGGAAGGGCCTTTTAATTTGTGGGGCAAACTTATATGGTGAGTCCATTTTTGTAGTTTTAATAAAGTTTTTTTCATAAAGTGTAAAAAATTTAAAGTATAAAATGCAAAAAAAAAATAATAATTCAGTAAGGCAAATAATAATTTTAGTGGAGGCATCTTCATAAATTCTCAAAAAATTAAAGTAAAAAAAAAAAGAAAAAAAAAAAGAATTCAGTGGGGGCGAATTGTAATTTTAGTTAGAGCATCTTCATAAATTCTAAAAACATTGAAGTTTAAAATGGAAATATAAAAGATTCAGTAGTGGCATCCGTCCCTACTGGTCTTATGTTAGGTCCATGCCTGATTATAGAATAGATCCTGATATATGGTATCAGAGCCAATTTTTTCAAAAATGAGAAGAGCCTTCATAATCTATATGAATAAAAGAGCCTCCACAAGTTCACGAGGTTATGTCAATGAAGATACTAGATACAAGAGATGGTGTTTAACAATAATTTTATCAGGCATGCGAAAATGTTGGAGTTTGCTTGGTTTGTAACTCTGAAAATAGTTTTCAAGAATTAAGAGAATAGAAAACTATTTTCAGAAGACTATAAAAGACAGTTTTCTGAAAACCGACTTTTTTGTAACTGAATTTTTGAACAATTTTTTGTTTTTAATTTTATAAAAACAGAAAATTATTTTCAAAATTACAAACTAAACAAACCCTTAAATTCCAAGAGAGACTGTTTTACAATATTGCATAAAACCCCTGATGCTCTATTTCAACCAAAATCCAAGGTCAAGTTTTTTCTTTTTTAAAATATCTTATTAAAAATTATGGATTTAATTTTTTTAGTTATGTTTTGATTGGAGCACATAGTTTAGTTTCTCATAAATAAATATATAAAGTATCTTTATATATATATATATATATATCTAGTTGGCTAGAGAGCAAATGCCACGTGGCTTGTTCTCTCGTGATGTTAATAAACTCTAAACTAAAAACTTTGACGTGAGGTACACGAGAGAGGGAGCCTTTAGATGATGATGACACTTCACCAACCGGTGATTACGTGTACGTGACACGTAAGCCAGAGCTTTTTAGGGTATCCGTACCTTCTACTCTATGTCTTCTTTGCTAGTAATTACAGCTCGTAATAAATCACTGGGGACTTTGGGGCCCTAATGCCGTGTTTGCCACCTCTTCTATTAGAAAACACTTTCACCTACACATTCATATATATATATATATATATATAATGTGCAGGTGAAAGTGTTTTCTTATACAAGAGGTATATATATATAATGTGTAGGTGAAAGTGTTTTCTTATACAAGAGGTATATATATATATATATATATGAATGTGTAGGTGAAAGTGTTTTCTTATAGAAGAGGTGGCAAACACGGCATTAGGGCCCCAAAGTCCCCAGTGATTTATTACGTGTATATATATATATATATATATATATGTATGTATTTTATAAAAGAAATTACACTGATTTAAAGGAAGTTCATCGTAATTGCATTGCAGATACCTTTTTCTTTCACTTGAAAAACTACGTTGACAACTCCCACCAATTATAGACAAACGTCCCTTTATATTAGTCAACAATGATTTTTACTACTGTTCGCAAATTGAATTCTGAAAATATTAAATTTGTGCTTATAATATATTTAAAGACAACATTATTCTCGAGACATCAACTGATGTTACATCCAACCTTAACAACGAAAATGGTAAATTAAATATTCACCGACAAATATTGCGTGTAAGTGTTATAACAAATGAAAATACCAAATCTCAAACAATAAAAAATTCATGTAACTAGAGTGTAACAAATCTCAAATATAGGTTAGTGCATGTTATTTATCCTATTTTATTTTGGCAATATATATATATATGTGTGAATTTATCTCATTTGTAGCTCATTTTCCATAGATTTTTGGATCCACAACATGATACACACATATTGAATACATAGAGGTTTAGTGGACTGACTTCAAAAATACAAAATTAACCATTAAATCAACAGAGCAAAAAGTCTTTGGTAGGAGGGATGACATTTTCAGCATGAGATCAAGCTAAAAGGTCGTGAAAAGGATTTGAGCATTGTACATACTCTGTACACTGTTTACAATTTTGATTAATTCATCATTTCTTCTTCGTCAATACATTATATATATATATATATATATGTATATATAATGCATAATTCAGTTCTTTGGGATATATTCTATGAAATAATTTGGAGGTAGACTTGCTTAAAACCAAGCTATATTGATGATGTATACTATAACCATAGAAAAAGATGGCTCGGCAGGCGTTTGATTTTTTCAAAATATTATGTGCATACCACGCCCATATATGCAAGTAGACATATACATATATGTATGTATATGTTTTTGAATTCATTACTAGCCCAATAATATAACTTTTTTTATCTCTAAAAAGGAGGAGAGATGTTCGAACGGGGCGTCGTGTGTAAGTACCCAAAAAAAATAAAAAAATGAAATAAAAAAATTGGGTCATATGTAAAAGTTTATGATTTCTTAATGTATATGTTTTGTTAGGAATGTTTGGCAACACAGCTAGATGTGATACAATTGGTGTACATGCATGAACAATCTCAATGATGTTTATTTTATCTATATATAGGTAAATTTGAAATTTTGAATTAATTGTAGTGCCTTTGTTTATACTCTGATTGGTATACACAATTATTACATCTATAGTTATACAGATATATGAATTACAATACAGTTGTCTGTGAATTAATTTGGGTTGGACTAGTTCATTTCAAGTCGACAACATGGACAACTTGACTTTGGATAAAGTTAAGCATTAAAGATGTTGGTTTGGTTTATTCTGTCCAAATTGTTATCCCACCTAAGAAGGTATATATTCTAATGTTGGTGAATATTGTAAACATCAATAAAACCTGTAATTTATTAATGAGTAGGGAAGGCGATTTTATATTATGTTTTGATCACCAAATTAACGTCTTGAAATTAAAACCAAAAAATTTAATTCATAAAGATTGATTCGATATTTTCAAATACTTTCAAACACAATATCAAAGAATACCCGAACTATATACAATTAAATAACAGACAAACACAGTTTTTGGTACCTACAAAGGCCATTGGTGACATTTTAAGAAATCACAAAGTACAATGCAAGGCTCCCTTCTTCCACGTATATAGTTGACCTTTTTAAAGGTCCAAAATGCCCATGGTAAGTAGCATCATAACTCAAGGTTTAAGGGCAAATTAGTCTTTCCAAGATTATATGATACATAGTTGATTGCATAGCCACATTATACACTAAATAATGTTACGTGCAAAAGCAAGTAAATTGGTAATATTCAGACTTATTTCATACACGTGATTGGTAAATAATTATTTATACGTATATAGATTGAGTAATGATATTAAGGCTCACTTGTTAAGTCTACTTCTAAAACAGAAATAATTAAAGTCATTTATGACTTGAAATGAAACTCGTTTTAAGCTATTTAAGTACTGTATCTTTTTTCACTGAGATTAGTCTCGATTCAAAATGGGTCCGAAAAAATAAACAAATAAATAATATTTTACTATTAGATTGAAAGATTAGATACATTAAATTATTCATTTAATATTTCATCTGAAAAATTGTCTTAATTTAGTGATTAAATGTAAATAGTTCATGTTTCTCGTCACAAAAAAGCTCTCTTAATAGCTTGACTTTAAATAATAATCGAAAATTGTTGTGACCTCTCACATGTGTTTGAGATGTTAAATTTGAATAATTTAAAAAAAAAAAAAAAACATTATTAATCATATGATATGGATTTTAGTGTGTGTTGAAGTAAACAAGAGAAAGAGTATGTTACGGTTGGTGGGTTGATAATGAGAGGACATTGGAACTTATGATGTATGCATAACAGATCCCAGTCAAACACTACAAGATTTTTACAGCTTAGGAGTCTGGTACAAGTGATGAATTGGAAGGTGAATAGTGAATAACTATATAATACTACATTGTTACTTAATTTTTAAATCACTTTAACTAAATGCCACATAAAGAGTTGTGCCGAACAAAAACAAAGCCAGTCCTTGTATATCTGGACGGCCTTTTTTAAAGCATTGGATATATCATTAATTCATTATTAATTCTATTTCACATGCTATGTATGCATGTATATGCTTCATTTTTACAGCTTTAGGAATTTAATTACATGAACTAGAAAAATGTTCCCAACAATGCGACATTGAGGAGGTTTTGACAAATTGAAGAGATTGGAGTGCAATATTGGAAGATAAATTTCACAATGTTGTGTCCTTCTAGCATTTGAAACGAAAACTGAACCTTCGAAAATTCTAAATGAGTACTTATCACCTAACTTACATAATCTTTCCCAACGGGTGTCGCTTTTATGTTTCGAGCGCGCTCCTGCTCTCACGCTCTGCACACGTTCTGTCTTAAATTCTCACTATTTTATGATTTAATTCTACCGCTCTTACACTTCTGCTCTTACTTTATGTGACTTAACCTATCACCACGACGCAATGGTAGAGCTCACGCCCCAAACTCATTACACCCTTTTCGAATCATTCATAGTTTTCGCCTCCAAATGATTTAGGATATCCTTTTCTTAAGAATTGGTTAGTAATATTTATAAGTGGACACAAACTACATTATATCTTTTTTTCTTTTATTATTATTATTATTATTTTTTTTTACACAATTGGTGTGGTCACGGGCGAAGTCACGATTTTAGTTTAGGGGGCAGTATTAAGAAGAAAAAAAAATTATTTAAAGGAGTGGTAGGGACAAAAAGTATGAAAAATGACAACTTAAAAAGAAAAAAAAAATTAAAATTAATTTTAAAAGGAAAATTTAACTTTTTAAAAAGAATTTAAAGAGTAAATGAAGAAAATTAAGAGATAATCTTAGAAACTAGTAATTTTAGGAAGGCATTATATAAAATAATAAAAAATATTCACACATATATATATATATATATATATATATATATATATATAATATAAAAAAAAACTACCATATGTATAGTGGGCGGCCAGGGGCAAGTGCTGTGCGTGGATGTGATTTTATGTTTACCCGAACTACGTTTATGTGAATAATTAGGCTAAGATTGTGATTGGAATTATTCCTTACTGATACATTTACTTGAATAATAGACACAATTGTGTCTTTTTCTTACGTACATTAATACAGTTTCAAAAATTTTATGTTTATATAAAATATATTTATAAGGGTTATGTCTATGTGAAACAGACATCTTTTAGTTTTTATTAATAATAATAATGATATAAACACACTGACAATAACTTGTATATATAATTGATGCAATATGTTATATAGACCCTTGTCGTTATATTGGTAGCAACTTACTACCAAAAACTTGGTTTTATGTTATGAAAAACACGTTTACTGAGATGGACATTTCTGGTAAGAGCCAATGACAGATACCAACTCAAATTGAGAGATCTTTAAATAAATAAATAAATAAATAAACCCCTCAAATAAAGACAGTGATGTTTGTGCACAGCATGTGGTGGACCCTCTTAAATCCAACCACACAATGTCTCAACTACAAAATCCTGTGGCTGGAAATCAACAAAGCATTTTAAAAGTTCCACAAATTTTGTATTTTGAAGTTCGCATTTACACTATTTAATCTGTATTTTTTACTGAAACAACAATTTAACTGCATCAAACGAGGACTTCATGATCAATACTTATTGTTTTGCTATTCATATTTATCCTAATGTTATGTTTTTCTGGTATGGAATTGAAATTTTGGAATTAAAATTAGAATCAGAATTGATGAGAAAAAATTTTGATTCTGAATTCATTTTTTCTAATTTTACCAATTTCATACAACCAAACATTTTTTAGATTCCATTCTTCAATATTAGACCATTATATTGTCTATTTAAGTGGAGGAATGAAATAGAATAAATTAATAATGTGCCTTTAGTCTAATGGTATAATTTGTTACTCTTAAAGAGTAGGGGAATGTAATTTCATAAATAATTCAAATAAATTGTAACCTTATAAATTTGTGACTCGATTTATAGAGTGGCTAGAATTGCAACATATAACAGATAATTAAAAAAAAAAAAAAAATTATTTAGCAGTAAGATTTATTTTGAGCAATTTTACACAAAATATTTTGTATATATAAATAATGTACATTCCGAACTTGCCTTAGAGTAGAAATTGTTTTGGAGAGAACAATAGAAGTTATTTTGAAGAGAACTTTGCACTATTGAGTTACCGGATAAAATAGGAAATGCAAATAAAAAGTCACTTCTTTCACTCAAAAATTTGTGTTTTTTGGTAGAAAAATTTTGAGGAAAAATACTCAATTGGGAAAAACTAAATTTTGCATTAGGTTTCTTTTTCTATCTATCTAAATTCTAAAAAAATTAAAAAAAATTCTCTTTCTTTTCTTTTCTAACTGTTTTCACCTAACCAAACAAAGTTAGATATGGTATTTTAAATTTGCTTTAAAGTTAAATTTAAAGTTAAAACTTAATAAAATTCCCGACTGAAATACGCATTTTCTAAGTTAGTAATTAGTACTTACTCAAAACATAAAATAAAAAAAAAAAAAAAAATTGGAACCCTATGCAATCAAATCAGTCCCTAGAGTTTTTTAATCATCAATCATCTAATTCATGTGCCTACAGTGTGACGCGTGTCCTATTCGACATTTGGGTCCCACCCCAAAGTGTAAAATTGAACCTCTCTCTTTGGTCAAATGTTAACCGTATAACCTAACTTATTTTATAAACAGTAAACCACACTGCACTTTGTATAATTAAATGCTAAAAATACAATCCGGTCATTGTCCACGGTCACAAGGTCATTCCGGTAATTTCGCCAGTTCTGTCGGTCCCTAACCCTGGTTAAATTCCTAACAAGGGTCCCGAGTTACGACCCGTTGGAACGAACGGACCGCTCGTGAGTTTCAGAAGACGAGCGTCGGTGACCCGATCGAGTGGGTGTGATGTGAACCGCGAGTTAACTTAGAGAGAGAAACAGAAGAGAGAGAGGGTGAGAGAGATTTATATATATATATATATATACGTATTTATATAGAGAGAGATTGATAAAGATATATATAGAAAGAGAAAAAGGCGTAGATTCGTATATAAGCCATGGAAGCCAAATCCAATGCGTCTCGAATTTGAGGGAGAGAGAGAGAGAGAGAGTTCCAGTGAGGGAAGTTTAGAGCGAGAAAATTTAGAGAGAGAAAGTGTCGGCTTTTAGAACATAGAGAGCCGCGGCAAATGGCAGATTCGAGCGACTCCGTTTCCGTTGATATGGAGACGATCTCTTTTGGAGGGAAGGTTAGACATATACATATGTATATATTATATGTATTGTATTTTAATATATGTAAATGTTTGTCATTTGAGCTACATTTGTTTATATGATTTTTGGGAGAGTTTGAAAACAGTTTCTGAGTTTGAGTTGTGGATTGTGAATCATCTGGTTGATTTTGATTGATTAATGAAGGGGCATTAACGATCTTGATGATTTTATTTAACCTATGAAGTTTTTAATTTTTTTTTTTTTTTCTGGTTAGATAACTCAACCTCGCAATTTAATTTTCCTAAGCTAAAATTATTTAATTTTTGCTATTATTTAACTCAACCTCACAATATTTTGGTTGAAATTGTAAACTAAGATTATTTATTTTTTGCCATAATTGGTTAATGTGTTTTAGAAGTTTATAGATACTTTCCTTCAATGCGAGTTTATGTATGTTTGTGTTTGAATGGCTTTCTAAATAAAATGGGTTTGTTTTTGACATTGAAGTGAGATTCATTTAAAGTTCTATTACCAATTCCAGAGAGGTGTCTTTTCTTAGAAATGAATGTATTACAAGACATTAACGTACTTTAAGGGTTAAGTTTTGTGTTTGGCTTAATGTTGTGACTTCAATTGATGATGTTATTATTGGTTATAATTGATTGCATTTCCATAATTGTTTGGGTTCAATACATTGGGACTATATTGTAAAATTTACTGGGATTTGCTATTTATTGGTTGTATGACTTCTTGGCTGAGTTGCTATCAAAAATACTTTGTATGTGTGATGAGATTTCTAATTTGAGGAGCATTGAAATTTGTCAATTTGTAGAGCAACTAGATGGCATGACTCTTTTTTTTGTCTACTGCAGAATTTCGCCTTATGTTTTACTGGTTATACGGGGAAGTATATTTGTTGGTTTTTCTCTTTTGTAAACGTGGGTGTACCATTAACCTAACGAATATAGGAGATCGGTAACTTATGCGTTTGATACTTCTGCAATTGATAAGCTGTTATGAGCAGATTAGTTTAGTTTTCAATGAGTGGAGAGACATTCGAAATCATTGCAAACTTCACTTTTTGATGTGATTTATGCTTTTTTTCGATTCTACGACCTTGAGAAGTTTATCCATTTGATGACTGTATGCATTTTGTAATGTGCTTCAGGAGCATCTTGTTAGAACTGGCCGTGGTTCAGTTTCTGTTTCTGTGTTTGGAGACCCGGACAAGCCAGCTCTTATTACTTATCCAGATTTAGCTCTAAATCGTAAGTTGATGAATGACATAATTTATTACGGTTCTTGATCTTTGACCCAACTGCTCTCTCATAATGATATACATTTCAATTGCTGCATTACTTGTTTTTGGTCTGGTAAACTTGTTGAAATGTGATAAAATAATTTTATATTTTTGGTAGAAGTCATTTGTCACAAAATATGGGCATGTTGTTTTTTCAGTTGTTTGACAAAATTATTTAGTAGTTTTTTTTTTTTTTTTTTTTTTTTTTGCCAAAAATTTCAAATTTGGAAGCTAAACAAGGTTGAGTTTGTGTTCTTTAAACCTTGATCTTTCAGCCAAAGCTTAAATTTATTCAGCTTGAAAAACTTGTTGACGGCTCATTGAAATGGTTGTATTCTGGAGGGTTTAATGAAAATTGATACTTTCTGAGGGTATCAGGAAATTGGTCTGTTATATTTAGCTACCAAAATCTAACCTCTCTTTGGTTGTTATATATGTGATCGAGCAGATATGTCTTGTTTTCAAGGATTATTCTTTTGTCCGGAAGCATTTTCCTTGCTGCTCCACAACTTCTGCATTTACCATATTAGTCCTCCTGGGCATGAGGTCTGTGGCTTTGTAACTTGACTGCCGTTCAATTGTGCTCATATTTCTTTTCTTCATGTAATTTCTACCCATGTATCTTTATTGCTGAATGCTATTATTCACACCGTGTCTTATCTGGTACTTTCTTCAAGAGCTATTTCAGTTGGGAGCTGCTGTAATTGGCTCTGATGATCCAGTATTATCTGTTGATGACTTGGCAGATCAGATCCCTGAGGTTCTCGACTATTTTGGGTAATTGTATTATTGCACCCTTTTTATTTACTGCCCTTTGAAGTGTTAGCTTGTTCTGAACTTGCTTTCTTGTAAACTGTCTTCCATTTACTACATTTTGCGTAATCATATTCTCTGTCAGCCAGTAAATCTGCTTGTTTTTTATCTGGGAAAGATCAACTTACTACATTTAAAGGCTTTAAACCACCTTTTCCTGTTGATTATGAAAAAAATAGATGGAATGAAGCTGATTTTGTTTTATTTTACTTTTTAAAATTCCTTGTTCAGACTTGGTGCAGTGATGTGTGTGGGAGTAACAGCTGGAGCTTATATCCTTACCCTGTTTGCTGTAAGTTTGTGTCTGTTGTATAGTATTTATAATTTTGACAAATTAATTTCTAGGTTTTTGAACTTTTTGGTCTTACTACTTTGGTTGTACGACTTGATGACAGATAAAATATACAAAACGTGTTCTTGGTTTGATACTTATTTCCCCTTTATGCAAAGCACCCTCTTGGACCGAATGGTTGTATAATAAGGTTTCTTTTCTGAACCTTTTCATCATTTTTTGAGGGCAAAAATCTTACTCTTGACTAATATGGTAAATTATCTGCAGGTGTTGTCAAATTTACTCTACTTTTATGGTATGTGTAGTTTAGTGAAGGAGTTATTGGTGATGCGATACTTCAGCAAGGTAGTATTGTGCTTCCAATTTATCACGATGATATATGTTTCCCGAGAAATAGATAGGTGGCTAATTGGAATTTGAATATTATTATGATAGGAAGTTCGTGGTAATGTGGAAGTACCAGAATCAGATATAGTTCATGCATGCAGAAGAGTTAGTGCTTCGGTTTTTTCTTATTTTTTGATGCTTGCAGGTCAGGTCAGCGTGTCAGATTTCCTTAACCTTTGTTGTTTTTTTGCAGTTGCTGGATGAGAGGCAGAGTCCAAATGTTTTGAGGTTTCTTGAAGCTATTAATGGGTAAAAACTATTCTTAAGAAAGTTCTTTGATGTGCTGTGTATATTGTTGGTAGCTCTCCTTGTCTTAGTGTCATTTTTTTTTGCATTTGTCAGGAGGCCAGACATTAGTGAAGGATTAAAGAACCTACAATGTCGGTCCCTCATATTTGTTGGAGAGAACTCTCCTTTCCACGATGAGGCTCTACATATGACTTCAAAACTAGATAGAAGATATAGTGCCTTAGTTGAGGTATGCAATTAGTGTAACACACACTTTTATCATGTTCCAATGTTGAGTTTGCATTAACACATGAAATGGGCTTTTTACTAATTGAGGAAGTGTGTGTGTGTGTATCAACAGGTTCAGGCATGTGGGTCGATGGTGACAGAGGAGCAGCCCCATGCCATGTTGATACCAATTGAGTATTTCCTCATGGGATACGGCTTCTACAGGCCGTCTCAGATCAGCGTCAGCCCAAGAAGCCCGTTGAGTCCAACTTTCATCAACATTCCCCCCGAGCTTTTCTCTCCGGAAAGCATGGGGTTGAAGTTGAAGCCAATTAAAACACGAATTTCTCTTAATGTTTGAAAGAAAGATAGTAGAGAAAGGTAGGAAGTAAGTAATTTTTTTGTAATCTATATATTAAGGAAAGCATTTGTAATTTTCACTTGATTGGTCAGGGGGATTGTAGATAGAGAGAGAGAGAGAGGAAAAGGGATAAGGGAAAAAGACTAGAAAAAAGAGAGACGAGGATTGATTCTTTCATTTGTAATCATAAATCTTTAGTGGAGGAGGGCTGAGTGATCTGTATATCCTCGGGATAAATATTTATAATGACAATAAAAATAATGATAATAAGAAGTGGGTGGCGAACTTGTTCTCTCTCTCTCTCTGTGTTTTTTTAACTTCTAATGTAAATTGTATCTTCTTTGTTAAAAGGTGAGGCTCATAGTAGGTATGTTTAAATCTGCTGTCAATATTTTGTCCACCTGTAAGAGGTGGGTGGCGAACTTATTCTCTCGCTGTGTTTTTTTAACTTCTAATGTAAATTGTATTTTCTTCGTTGAAAGGTGAGGCTCATATTTGGTATGTTTAAATCTGCTGTCACTATTTTGTCCACCTCCGAAGTACAGCACACTGCATATGATTTTCTCTTCATTGTTTAGGTTCCCTTTTTTGTTATAAACCATAATTTGATGTCAGAAGTCTCCCTCAGAAGGCTGTTGCTTGCCAAACATTTGGACCCCTCAAATGCACCATAAGCTATATATATATATATATATATATATATGTATATATATATACCATAAGCTATATATATATAGCATTGTCACCTTTGAATTTGCCATTTTCTAAGGAATCCGATTTCTCTTTTGTATAGGAGATGTTCAGTGGACGGACAGTGGTGTGGTGATTTCTCCCACTAATACAGGAGAGGTTCAGTACAATTAGTGGTGGTGATAAGGGCGGGACATACGTAGGTCCGAATTGTGACGGCCTCCACTGGGCTTTTATTTGTATTTTTATTATGTACTTACAAATTTTATTAAAATTTTAGAACTGTCCTAATAATTTTTAAAGAATATAAATACTCGCCCTCACAAAAAATTTAAAATACAAAAAAGAGTAATTAACCCACTCTCTCATTTGTTATAGTTTCTAAAGAAAGCAAAATGTAATTTAAATAAATAAAGTCATCATGTCAATGATAGAGTCACATTTTGCTCCCATTCAACTTTTTTGTATTTTAGTTTTGCATATATAATAATTATACAAATGTTGAGAAACAGAGACAACATAAGAAACATGTTTACCAAATTGTGTTTTTAAAAGGTAAAAACTCAACAAATATTAAATGTATTGAATAAAAGTATTATTAATCAATGTCTATATTTTTATACTTAATTCAATTTTTTGTATTGGTGATTGCAACTATTAAGTGAGACCTATATCACATAGGTGGTGCCAATCACGTTAGTGACTTAGGACTCGTTTGGCATAATTTTTGCTTTTGCTTTCACACAGAAGAAAAAGAAAAGTGGAAGCTATCACTTCCATTTGGCTTCTATGTCGGTGTTTGGAACCATAATTTAAAATAACTTTTAATGTCAGAAGAGTTTTTTTTACCTATTTGGCAAAACATTTGCTGAAACTCTTTTACTAATGATATAACTATTTTGCCCTTGCTATCCTGGATGAAAGTCCTGAATATTTGACTTGCCAATAAAAGAAAACACACTCAAACAACAATATCTTATACGAAGTAATTGTTTGCTTCCTCAAGAGATCAAATGCTTCCGTCCTTGAACCTCCATGCATCCTTTGGTTCCTATCTAGTCATGTAGCTTGTACAATAGCAGTAAATAGTAGGAGTAAAATGTTTCAAATTGGAGTTCATGTTGGCTGTTTGAGACTATGCTAGAGAATTCTAACAAAAATATCTAGAGAACTCTAAAAGAGAGAAGATTTGAGACAAAAATATCTAAATATATTTCTATATTTGTAGATTTTATAGTAAGAATTAAAAAATGTAGAAAGTTAAGGAGATGGAAGTAGGTTATAAATATACAAAGGAGGTCGTGATAAAATGCAATCTTTCCATTTCTACCAGTGTACTCACTTCTTCCTTCCTTAAATTTAATTTTTCTAAAATAGCTGATCAGTTTTTATTAATATGTATATAGTAATTTATTTATTTCATTACCAAAACACATTCTAAATTCCAACTATATTAATTGCCATGAATGCCGTCATAATCTTTCCAACTATATTAATTGCCGTCATAATCTTGAGATTATCTGAACAACTTTATAGGTTGGCCCATCAAATTGAAATCGAACAAATTTATGTAAGGTAGCAAAATTGTTTTTTTCTAACGAACGATTAAATTTTCCCTTAATTGTTGTTCTAATACTCTTTTTCACTCTGTCGATCTTCAATTCTGAACTTTTTGTTTTGTTTGTGATTTGAATTCATGTGAAGAAAATGAATATGTTCATATTATTATGGACATGTTGTTGCAAAGATGAGTGAACCCAAATGAACACGTTCAAACCCGTTCACGAGCTCTAGCTTATATTTTTGAGTTCAAGACTGGTATGGTAATTCCTTAGTAGGCAAGTTGTGGAATTCTTGTCCAACAAAGAATTTGATTTGAAAACTCTAAAATAAAGATGGGGTGAGACATGAGAAAGAGATAAGAAAGATGTAAGAGGTTTAATGGTGAATGTTGTGAGGAGAGGAGGAAAGTGTATGTAATTTCCAAGTGTGGAGATGTAGTCTCAAAGGAGATGTAGTCTCAAAAGAGATGATGAGCGAGTGAGTGCGATTTTGACATCTGATTGTATATTCTCTTCCTGTATTCATAATAGTGAAATATCTCTTTCCATAGACGTAATCCTAAAGTTACGTGAACCATATATGAATGTGTATGACTGTTATCATCATATATGCTTGTGTTGATGCGATGTTGTGATGAAGGGGATATTTGACTCTCAACAAGAGATGACCGTTGGGTGGATTAAAAAGAGTTAATATCCCAACAACTGGTATCAGAGTGGATGGTGGGTCAAAACCTATAATTGGTCCTAAAGATCAAAGTCGAATATTGGTGTGAAATTTGTCAGAGAAGAAAATTGATCATGGTTGTTATGGAAATTCAATCATAATTGAGGATGACATGAAGATGGATAGATGGTATGAAGAAATAAGTCCACGAGGAACAAGTTTTAGGGACAAGCCAGAGAGTGGGTGTTAGTTCTCAATATGAGCCAAGTATGGTGTGAGGAATGAAGGGGTTTGTTTTAAGCTTGATAAAGAGTAATGGAGAGGGAAGAATAAAGTTGTTATAGTGTTTTTTTTTTTTTTTTTTTTGGCCCAAAATAAGCAACAAGGGGAGTCGATTGATCGGTGGGTTGCCATGCATAAGCAATTGAATACCAGAGATGGTGGAAGAAGAAGGAGCATGGTGTAATTTGAGAAAAGATGGAGATTGTTAGAGTGTTTTTCAATTTCATTATAGTGTTCGGTTCGAGGTGAAGAGATCTTCGGTCGAGGTAAAACTATATGGTAGCGCATGAATACCGAATTCAAGCCAGGGTAGAGATTATTGGGTTTATGGCTTGAATTCATGTGCAGAACATGAACATGTTCAAGTTTTTATAGACCTGTTCACTTGGGGTATGTTGCGAAGATGAGTAACACCAAGCGAACACACACACACACACACACACACACACACACACACTTGATTGATGACTATAGGATTTTAAATTCTGAATCATCATATCCTCTCTTTTTGTAAGCCATACCAACACGCATAGATTAATAATGCATATATATAGTTGCATATCCTATTTCCTAACATCTAAGATCAAGTGATTATCTTGTACAACAAATTAAGTTGGACCCAAACAGACATCTGTAGACAATGATATCAAATAAAATTCTAAAAATCACCTAATTTGGTCAACAAATTAACCAAGGTTGGTTCCATTTAACTTTAAAATCACTTAATTTGGTCAACAAACAAAGGAAGGACTATCTTAAGTTCTGAACTCTAATTATTTAAACAAAATAAAATCTTTGGTAGTGAGCTCTTATTTTAGAGTTGAAAACTAAAATGGTAACTCCTTGGTAGGCAAGTTGTAGATTTTTTGTCCAACAAGGAATTGGGTTTGAAGACATTATAAATAGAGACGGGTGTGAAAGATTAGGGAGAGAGGGGAAAGATGGAAGAGGTTTAAAGTGGAGTGTTGTGAAAAGATGTGAGAATATATGTAATTCCCGAGTATAGAGACCATATAACATATTGTGTTGTGCATGAATATGTATAATTGCTATCTCCATATATATTTATATTAATGTGATGTGATGATATTTCTACTGCGTATGATGAAGAAATGATGTAATTCTCAATAACAACCGACCGTTAAGTGAGTTGGAGGTAGTTAATGTTGGGTTTAAATTGATCATGAATTAAAAAGAGGTTTTTGATATCATACCTGATTAGAAAATTAAACTTTAGATACCTTTGAGAATTCCTTATCGCCCTTTGAGAGATCTGAAAAATAGAGCGTTTTACCCCTTTCTGAAAGTTGTCTATATGATAGGTCTGAATAAGGGTTTTAAAACCCTTATATATAATAATAAAAGGGGGATGACTTCTCTACAAACAAGCATACCTAAGTCTCATTTCCTATCATGGAAACTTAGATATTAATGATTAGAATTAAATCACACCAAATAAGTTGGAAAAACCACAATCCAACAATATAAAAACCATACTCCCAATTAGACCACCAAATTAGAAAGTAAAAACCCAATCTATCAAGTATCAATAATTACATTGCAATCCTACTTTAGAAAACGTAGTGTATAGGACCATAAAATAAATTTTATTATATATATATATATATATATATATAAATTCAACAATCTCTGATGAGCGCTGAAAAGTGCGTATTTAAACCCTTTAAGTTTAGGCATTCTAGTACCTTTATCTATCTTACTTTGCCATTTTAGATTGATTTCGTATTATTTCCTTTTTCAGGCACTTATCCCGAAAATAAGCTAACTCAGCCAAATAAGAGCTTAATTGAAGCAATTCTGGGATTAAACAAAGAAAGGAGCAAAGTGGAGAAAGAGGGAAGCAAATGAAGCCAAATGTGGGAAACAACAAAGTTCGATCGATCCAAGTTCAAGGTTCGATCGATCGAATAATGATCGATCTCGGCACTTCAAGATAGATCCAAGCCTAGACCCAAAAGCATAAAGTCCAAAAGTTCGATCGATCCAACACCATCCTTTGATCGATCGAACACTTTTGTCCTTATTCAAATGATTGATCCTATCCACAACTGTACCATCCACTAACCATTTTTGT